ACACTCACGTGGAAAGCAATGCACTGACTGAGTCATCTCCCCAGTGTCTAACCAACAAGTTTCAGAGGATGAGAAAAGGAAGAAAACCTTACAAGAGAAGAAAAACCAGAAACAGTCAACAAGTGAAAAGGGAAAGGTGGGAAATGGAAGTTGGGGGGATGGATTTGACTGTTAGAAGGGAAGAGAGAAGAAATAACAAAAAGATACTTTAGAATGTAAAAGATATACATGTATGCATACATATACACAAAGCAATAGGCGAATTAGAAAGTTGAACAGAGGGAAGGAGGGACGGACAGAGGAAAGATAGCTCCCATGTTTCCCCAAGCAGCAAGCTTGGTTCCTCATTATGGTACCACACTTTTTTGCTTTTTGTATTAAAAAACTATTTTTTATCCAGGCAAGGAGGCACACACCTTTAATCCTAGCACTTGGGAAGCAGAGTCAGGAGGATCTCTGTGAGTTCCAGTCTAGCCTGGTTTACATATAACATTCCAGGCTGGCTAAGGCTACCTAGTGAGACCATGTCTTTTTTTTTTTCAGTCTTTGACAGTTTGATACACGTATATGGTGAAGCTTTGTGCTTTTTACCTGCTGTCACCCTGTCTCTCCTCTCCTCTCACTGTAACTCTTGTCCCCTTCTTACCTTCATGTCCTTTTTTGTAGCACTGTACTTTCAGTGGAGAGAAACCGAGTGACTCCTGGATGCCAGCACACCAGGGAATGCCCAAGTTCAGACTGCCCTCCTGTTCTGCGTTTGTTTCTGGGCCACTTTTGTCTATGTCTGTCCTTTCTTTTCTTTCTGTTACTCCTTCTGTCTACTATGCCATCTGGTACCTGTGGACTTAGGGTTATGCACTCTTTCTTGCACTCTGTTCCAGTAACCAACAATTCTAAAAGATTTTTTTTATTCGTGCATGTGTGCATGCGTGCGTGCACACGTGCATGCACACGCTCATTCACACATGCAAGTGACTGTGATGGAATCCATAAGCATCATATGCTCCGGTGATACAGGTGGCTGTGAGCTGCTGGACATGGGTGCTAGGAACTGAAATTGATTGACCACTTATCTGTGTCTTCAGGACCCGTCTGTTCAGTACTGAACTTAAGTGCTATTGATACCCACCTTGCTGAGTAAGCCCCTCTCTGTTTTGAGCCACACAACAAGCTATTCCCTTTCCTTCTCAGAATACAATTACAGTTCTTAGACTCCCTTGCAGCTAGATATGGACCTTGCCCTACATGTGCAATAAATTATAAGCAGTAGAAATATGTACATCTCCCATGGAAAAGGTTCATGCTACACTGCCCTGGGAAGCCTGTACGGTGAGTCCAAAGAAATAAGCAGAGAGTCGTGGCAATTCCTGTGACTGACAGACACCCACTCACCTGACTGCCCTAATATTATTTATCTATTTGCCCTGTGTGCTGGTCCTGGCTTACCCCAGAATTTAGGGGCTTCCCATGGATGCAGGTACCCCACTGGAGCTCAAGAGGCTTAAAATAGCTCAGCTGTGAACCTTGTTGAGGAAAAATCAAATCCCTATTTCCCAGCAAAGCAACTCCCAGCCCTCAGAGAGACTCATGTGCTCTGCCTAAAGGCTTTTAGGGATGTCCCAGCACTGTTTCATATAGAAGTAACATTGTCAGAACTTAAAGAAGTAATGAACTCCATGCCTAGATTTCATGGGTTCAAATCCTGACTCTGCCACTCACTAGGAGTAACTTTACAGTCAATTCCTTAACCTCTGTGCTTCAGCACCCCCATCTGTAAAATGGGGGGTGTTAATAGTCCCATCTCTTTGGGCTGATGTGAGGCATAAATGGGTTGATCTATGTAAAGTGTTCAGGTCATGTCTGCCACACATAGGAACTATGTGATCAAGTGGTTCTCATGATGTCTCCAAATGCCCACAGTGTAGGAAAACACACACACACACACACACACACACACACACACACACACACACACACAGTTCCTTTCACAAGAGAGAAAACCAAACCCAGAGAAGCTGAAGCTGCTTCTCAGGCAACACAGCCAACACTAGCCACGTGGTTACTTGAAGCTGTGACTCCGAGCCCCACAAACGTGGCATACAAGGCCCTGAAAGCTGGCGACTCAGTGTCCCTCCCTTCCCTGGCATTCCTGTGGCTTCCTCACACATTCCCCATGTCTCCCATGAACATCTGTGCTCCTACCCCAAACCTACTGTGGGCATGGTAATGGTCTCCACCTCTCCATATTCTTGCTGCCTAGTGTCAGGCAGGGATCCCCTGGGAAGCACACTGGTTTTTTGGTGGCAATGCTGGTGGTCACTGTGGTAGCAGGACCACACTTTCAAACACCTCTCTAGGACCTGCTGAAAGACCTCCATGCTACAATTGCCAAGGATCAGTACAGGAGCATCTTGTCAGAGGTAGAGGCATAGACCCACGACTGTCCTGGGAGGTGACAGAGAGGGCTTGTGTAGGTGTCCTTGGACACACTGGGGACAGAGGAGCATTGAGCGGACTGCATAGGAACCACATGTTATCTGGGAAGCAGGAAGCCATTGCATGGAGTATCTGGGTGGGCTCCTCGGGCGGGGCACAGAGCTCAGCAGTTGTCCCTAATGAGGTGTTTATGTGAAAGGGTGTGATGTAGCTGCCGACCGCTTCAGGGTGTTCTGGGCTTTGCAGCTCACACGGACCCTTCCCAGATGAGCCTCGTCACCCAGGGTCCTGTCACGTTTAGTCACAGGCAGTACAGGAAACTCACCGCAGACACAAATCAAAGCCAAAGAGACCCGGCGGGTCCAGAGCACGTATGTGAATGATGCTGGCAGGAGCAGGGCCAGCGTGGAGGACAGGCTCTCTAGGCAACCTGATTGCTGCCAACTTGGAACGCAGCCCCAGGACCACAAGATCAGTGGATTTTTCCAGAGAAGCTGAAATCTGGACTTTTAAAATGTGAAGTCTCTTATCCATTAATGTTGACAGCTACTAGACTTTCTATTGCGCTAAACCAAAGTACATTCCTGGGCTGGCCTAGGCTCCAGGATGTCAGCGTGCCAACTGAGGCCCACATGCTGCCTCTAAGATGCCAGCAAGGCTGGAATAAGCCCCTAGCTCCCTTAACCAAACTTAAAAATTTTTGAATACCTCTGGGATGGGTCAGATAAAAGTCAACACAAAGGAATAATTTGTCAAGGGCTTACATGCCAGGTGGAGTTAAGAGGGTATGAACTAACTTGACAAAAACAGGCAAAACCCAACCTCACAGAACACATATTTGAAGTGGAGAATCATATACAGATACGTTTATGGAATTTCCAGTGTGTTAATAGTAATTAACAGGGAGAAAACAAAACCAAATTGGGGGGGTTAAGCATTTCACACGAATATTGCGATTTCAGATTAAGGTGGGCAGAAGGACCCGAGAAGAGGAGGGGGCATCGTGTAGGACAGATGTTATAAGAACAGATGTTGTAAGAGCCAGAGGCGGTGGGTGACTCCAAGGAAACAGGGTCCTCTGACACAACAGGGCTAGTACACATCTAAACTTACAAAGACCGTGACAGCACATACAAGACAAAATGCTCAAAACAAACAAAACCCCAGCGTGGAGAGGGGGAAACACAAAGTCCCACCTTTCACCAAAAAGCTAAGTGCAATTGATTCTTATTGGGTAAGAGAAAACCAGTCTTCTCTGGGTGTACCAACCGTATTCCAGGGCAGGAGTAGTTAGACAATACAAAATGGACTCCATGTATTTTGTGTGGTGTGCGTGTGTGTGTATGTGTGTGTGTGTGCTTTTTGTTTTGATTTGCTATTTTTTGTCTTATTGGGTTTTGTTTTATGTTGTTGTCTTTTTTAATGCATTTCGATTTGCACTTTGTATATTTATTTACATATTTATTTAGAGTACATGGAGATGACTGGCTAGAGAGATGGGAGGATGTGGGAGGGGTTGGGGGCAGCGGAGGAATGTGATAAGATACACTGTATGGAAATTTTTGAAAAGAAATTAATTTTTAAAAAAGAAGACGAAATCAACATTACTGAGGTGAAATATTATGGAAAGTTTTTCCTGCAGGCCAGCAGGCCAAGCTGTCGTCTAGAGGTGGGGACCGAGGCTACATCTCAAACCAGCAGCCAAACTCGGTAATGTGTAAGAGTCTCCCACATGTTACTGATTTTGATGGCATGAGAGCTGCAGGATTTGAAGAAGTCACGTAAAGCAGGTGAGGCTTGGCATTGTGAGAGGCCAGGAGAGGCCACTGGCAAAGGCAGCCTCAGTTGAAGTGGGGACCCCAGGACTGAGTGTGTCATGGAGAGAGGCTGAGGTTGAGTGCCATGTGGCAGGCTGGAGTCCCTGGAGAGAGGCCAGGACAGGCTGTTGGTGAAGGTACAGCCTAGCTGCAGCGGAGGCCCCAGCATGTAGGAGAAGCCAAGACCATGGTACGACCACTAAGGACAGCAGCAGCTATGGAGTGGAGCCAGCCTGAGCCAGGACATAACTATGTGTGCTGCAGAGGACAGCGCCTGAGAACTTGAGCCGTCCAGGTCTTTCAGAGACCACACAATCATAAGTGGGTCCCTGATATCACTGAATTTTTACACAACCGAATTTTAGTTTTGCTTTATTAATTGTGCCTTTGTTCTTCCCTTTTGAAGTATGAAAGTGACTTTCAGCAGGACACAGTGATGCCTGCCGTAAGTCCAGCACTAGGAAAGAAGAGGCAGATGGATCTCTGTGAGTTTTAAGCCAGCCTAGTCTACAAAGAAAGATCCAGGACAGCCAGGGCTGTTACATAGAGAAACCCTGTCAAACCAAAATAAAGGAAGGAAGGAAGAAGGAAGGGAGGGAGGGAGGGAGGGAGGGAGGGAGGAAGGAAGGAAGGAAGGAAGGAAGGAAGGAAGGAAGGAAGGAAGGAAGGAAGGGAGGGAGGGAGGGAGGGAGGGAGGGAGGGAGGGAGGTTAAAACAGCAACCCATAATTTTAAGGTCATGGGTATTATTTTAAAGAGACTTGGGATATTTTAAGGAGATTGGGCTTTTAAATTCTATGTATTTATGTATGTGCTTATTTATTTTATGTGTATTAGTATTTTGCCTGCATATATATGTGTCCTACATGCATGAGTTACATACAGTTGTGAACCACTATGTGGCTGTTGCCAATTGAACCTGGGTCCTCTGAAGAGCAGTCTGCTCATAGCCACCAACTAAGCCCTATGACTGAACTTTTAAGGTCAGAAGTTGGGATATTTTATATATTGTAACATGGTATTAATATGGGATCTTGGGGATATACAAGAAACAAAAAGTTATTATTTAATAGTGTTGTACTGTCAACTTGACAAGAAGGCAACTGTCCTACTTAGATTTTGTTTGTTTTTGTTTTTCATTGTTTTGTTTTGTTTTGTTTTGTTTTGCCAACTTGACACGAGACAGGGTCATCTGGAAGGAGGGGCCTCAACTGAGAAAAATGCTTCCATCAAACTGGCCTGTAGGCAAGTCTGTAGAGCTTTTCTTGATTATTGACTGGCGTGGAGGGACCCAGCCCACTGTGGATGGTGCCACACCTGGGCTGTATAAGAAAGCAGGCTGAATAAGCCACGGGGATTAAGTCAGTAAGCAGCGCCCCTCCGTGGTCTCTCCTTCAGTTCCTGCCGTGAGTGCCTGGCTGGACTTCCCTTCATGTTGGACTACAGCTGTAAGGTAAAGCAAAACCTTTCTGAATCTCCAGATTGCCTTTGGTCATGGTGTTTACCATAGCAATAGAAATCTAACAAAGACACATGACACAGAAGTGTTTGTAGAGACAGAACTATTTTACATCTAATCTTTATATGCGAAACTTTCAACATCATTAGTTGCCCAGGAAATGTAAAACTACAGTGAGCTTTCTCTTACTTCTGTTGGAAAGGTCAAGAACAGAAAGCTGACAGGCAAGAGTGTAGACAGAAGAGGAGAGAAGGAAAGCTTGTCCACTGCTAGTGCACTCCAAGAATTAGTACAGGTGGGAGAGTCTCCTAAATGCTTGGGACCAGAGTGTGCTAGATTTGCTATTATTATTATTATTATTATTATTATTATTATTATTATTAATTTGGAGCTTTTTTATATGTTTGTTCATACAAAATCAGATTTTTTGGAGAAGCAACCCTGTCTGAACACAAAATTCACTTACAGCTCAAGCACGCTTACTTTCTGTGCTCAGCCCAGGGTAATCTGTGCCATGGTTTTAAGGTTTTGGTTGTGAGCCTAGCCTTTAATGGCTGAGCCATCTCTCCAGCCCATGTACCATAGTTTTGTTAATGTTGTGCCTGAAACAGTTTCCAGACACAGAACTCAACACTTGTGGTATCACAGCAGTGCTAAAATGTTTCAAATTTCGGAGCATTTCAAATTTGGGGCTTTGAACTGAGGGTGTTGCTCTCAGTGTGGTAGTGTTATAAGTTATAAACAGTCTGAGGTGGAGGTTCCTAAGAAAGTTAAAAATGAAACCAGCATAGGATACACCAATCCCACAACTGGAAATAAAGTCAGTGTCTATGCAGACCCTATTCCCAACTGCCACAGTGTGGATGAAAACACAGTCAAGGGAAGTACTGAGTAGACTAAATGTTTATCACAAGACATAAGAAATGTGAGGTGGGGCTGGAGAGATGGCCCAATGGTTAAGAGCACTGGCAGCTCTTCTGAGAGGACCCGGGTTCAATTCCCAGCACCCACATGGCAGCTCACAATTGCCTGTGACTCCAGTTCCAGGGGATCTGACATCTTCTCATTTATGCACACAAAATAAAGTTGAATAAATTGTTAAAAAAAGAAATGTGAAGCATTCTGCACATACTAGCTCAGTTCATCAAGTACACAATATACATCATTTTGCAATCCACTATTGGGTATAATCTCGTCTCAAATTTAAAAAGAAAGTGAGCACATCTGATTGGGGTGCTGGTTACGGGTGCACAGACTTGTCAGAGTTCATCCATGTGTACCCGCTCTTTTATGCAAACAACTATAGTTACAGAAATGGTATCTCTTGCCAGTGATGAAGAATGGGTGATAGAGGAGCAGGGAGCACCCTCAATGGTGTCGGGACAGCAGGGTTCAGTGGGTTCCCATCCCAGCCTCTGTGGTGGAGGAGAGCCATTTATGAATGCAGTGTTAAGAAACTCAGTGATTGCTGGACAGGCCAGGAGGCAGGATGCTGGGTGGGGCCGTCAGACTAAATCCAAGCTCAGTGGAAATGAGTGGAAAGAAAAGGATCTAGAAATAGTAGATAAGCCCAGGGATTCCTCTCTCTATAAGAAGGTGGTTGTGGGCAGACCTGTGGAAGCAAGGGTGAAGAGCAGAGTTCCTGAGGGCCAGCCTCCTAGCATGGAGACAGAGTGGGTACAGACAGCATGGGTGAGGGAAGCTGGGTGAGATCCCCCAAGGGACAGAAAGACATCACCCTTGTGACGAACCTCAGGACACCCATTTGTCACCAGCAAGGTTTCCCTGCTCTGTTTGTGGTGTCTTGGGAGTCATGGGGCACACTCCTTAAGGCCATGAAGAAGTATAGGACACAGGTCTTCCCTGGGTGATAGCCATATGACTCTTGATACGTGATTTGGTAGACTCTCTCGGTGCCCTTTTATTTAAAGCAGGAATAAGATTTTTAAATAAGGCAATATGTTAAAATTCTTGGTACATATAGTAATGCATGGGCATTTATTTTTACTGAGATGACAAGATGAATATAAGGAGAGCAAAGTAATGAATAGTTAAGACAGGACATAAGTTATTTTTGGATGGTACAGACTGGACAAGCCTTCAGGCTTGGAAGCAGAGTAGAAAAGGAAATAGGAACAGGGGAAAGGGGTGGCATTCACTCATCCTTCATGCATTCCAAGAATGAAGCATGCGGTGAGGTTGGACTAATGACGACCCTTTCCCCTTTCATAGTGCTGCCCCTGTGTGTAATTTACTTAGATTTGTGTGTGTGCTGATTTTAAAAAGTGATTTAGCGTGCACGTGTGTGTGTGTGTGTGTGTTGTGCATATGAGTGCAGCATCCACAGGGACCAGAAGAGGGTGTGAGATGCCCTAGAACTGGAATTGCAGGTAGTTATAAGTTGTACATGGCTGCTGGGAACAGAACTTGGATCCTCTGGAAGAGAAGCAATCGCTCTAACCACTGAGCCATCTCTCCAGCCCTATGTGTACAGATTTCTGTATCTTCTTCAAGACTGATGGGCAGGTTGGGAGGGAAGGCAGGCACCATGTCTGCTCGCTTGACTGCCATGCCTGCAGAGTCCAGCATGGCGCCCGGCAGGGAGAAGACACCCAATCAAAATTAGTGTTGCCGAGGGCGTGAGGCGATCTCAAAGCCCTCAATTTTCAGACTAAGGGAGAAGCTGGAGTCTAAATAGCAGGTTGTTTTCTGAGGTCCATTTCAAGACTTTGTGAGAAAAGAAACCAGGGAAGTTGCCATGGTGAGCTTAGAGAAGTGAAGCAAGCTTGGGTAAAGGGAGTAAGCAAGAGAGGCTGATGTAGGAGTTTGGGGCCTAATGCAGGGACCAGAGGCTGTGAGAATGGGGATGCACCCAGATCCAGGAAATGGGGCTCTGTGGGACTGGAGACCAGGATCTGGGGAACTTCTGGGTCCTAGAGGCCCGGAGCTCAGAAGGGCATCACCATTGCTTAACGGATGGCTTTACCCACTGCAGGGATGCCACAGCCTGCTCAGGGAGGAAGCAGGAAACAGTAAGATGGGCAGGGAAGGGAAATGAGGACAGGCTGAGGAATGAGGGGAAGAGGATAGAAGGAATGCTGGAAGAATGGGGGAAAAGGGGGGCAGGGTAGAGGAGGGGTCTTCATCCACAGTAAACACGGCATGAGGGCCTCATGCACCCGAGCCCCTTTTCCCACCCTGGCTCTAGAAGAGCTCTCCATGGAGGTCCATGGTTGTCTCCATTCCCGGTCCTTTCCTGCTACCATATGCTCACTGCTCTCTGTCTCTCCACACCCCTTCATTCTTCCTTGGAGGGGTGCTTGCTTGCCCAGAACGCTACAGCTTTCATGGAGTCACACTGGTGATATGAGTCACACATGAGTCACACTGATGATATAATGGCCCTAATGACAATAGCCTGACATTTACCCAGGACCTGTGTCCCAGTCCAACACTCGCTTCAAAGCCAAATTCGTCTAGGACTGGGGAAGGTGTCTGCAACAGACCATGACAGTCTGGGTCTCCAGGAAGAGGGCAAGGTAGGCAAACATAAGACCTTCCGGACAGGCCCTTTCATCCGGAAGAACTAGGCTGACACCAATACGAGAAACAATTAGAAGCCAGAGAACTTTCCATTCTGGGGTCTCAGTGGAAGCAGAGCCACCATACTGAGCCATCTACCCACAGGCCACACATTGCTTTGTAGCTGTACAGCCATTTGTCAAACCCTGGCCCATGAGGCAGACAGCCGCAGCTGCCAGCCACCTTCCAAAACATGTTGTGCCTTTTTGCCTTCCTTCTGTGGCTTGGCTCACCAAGCCTGAAAATTCCACACACCTGGGGTGGGCCAAGTTGGGACACTCAATCAGTAGCGTCACTGTTTCCAGCCCAAACACCCTGCACAGCGTCGTGGATGGGTCAGGCAGGCCCAAGGAACACTTCCAGGTTGCACACGGCAGGAGAACACCAGGAGGAAAAAAAGAAGCCCAGAATAACCTCCTATGTCCTGATGAGAGTACTTGCTGTAGAGAAGTGACTGTCTTTTGCCCAGCTCATAGCCCAGGGCCAGATCGCTCTTGGGCGGACTCCCTCTTGCCAGAGCCACGGCCAGTATAAACAGTGTGAGAGAACCATGGTGTCTCCTGGCAGAGATGCTACCTAACAATGCTCTGGATTCCTTCACAGCCCTCAGCAGTGCGGCTGGAAAAGGCATTGACCTTTCACTCATACCCCCAGCCAGACAGCTGCTGTCTCGGTGCCCTGAGATCATCCTGTCCATCTGTCCAGCCCATGTAGATGGTGGATCGATGATGGAGGCGAGCTCACTTCACAGGACCCTTGAGCACTCCCTGGACACTGACTGGAGTGAAGGAATGACGCTAGCTTTGCTTTTCCTCTCACCACCACTGCCCTTGAGAAGTGCCTAGCCCTACTGGAGGACAAGCAACGTCACAAGAGCCTCCAGGAAACGCCATTCTAAAGATGACAGGGTCTGAGGGCCAGGAGCAGCCCCTCGCAAGGGAGTGGGTGTGGGAACAAAGGGTTTGCTCAGGAGGGTCACACTCCTAGAGGAGGCACAATGTGACATGGTAAACAGGATAATGGCTCTGCTCTCTAGAGGCCAAGCCTGGGCGTGGGGCAGCTGTGACAGCTACAAAATGACTATGACCTCTCTCCCTCTGTCCCAGCTCATCCAGTGTCAGCTGTCCCAGGTTCTACGGCGGCCACTGTGAGTCTGGAGGTTGGAGCAGGAGTAGGGGCCTCACCTACAGGCAGCCTGAATTCTCTGTAGCCTGCACTCACTTGAGTTTGTTTGTTTGTTTGTGTTTCCTCTTTGCTCTGCCTGGAGCCTACCCTTTAGGTAGAGCAGCCATGGGGAAACTCACAGGCAAACATGGTGACAAACGGTCACTGTTCTGTGGCCTAGGGGGGACAAAGGCAAGATTAAGCTGATGCCTACTGAAAGAATTTTATACACATTAACATTTGAGTTGGGCTTTGCAGGGTGAATAGGAGTTCCCCAGATGGAGACTAGAAGGAAGAGGGACATGGAAACTTAGATTGGGCAAGGACCCAAAGACATAAAAATCCAGGGACCATGATTCCCAAGAATCTGGTTTTCAAAGGATGATAGGAATGGAATGTTGGTTCAGGCTGCAGGAGCCAACGATTTTGATTTCATTCTGTAAACAGGTGAGAGATATTACAGAATTTTAAGCAAGGGACCCACATAGTCAGGTTTACATTTGGGAAGACAACATACTTGCTGGGTCATAAAAGATGAGAGAGCAAGAAACTACAGCAAAAATAAAGGATGTTTTATAACAACTCCTGAAAACAAAACAGAGAGGAAAGCCAACCCTGGCCTCCAGAGGCTCATTGCCCATGCATAGCTATTCCCAGACTCTGCCCAAGCACCACTAGACAGAGACCAAGACTGCTGCCTATCAGACCTGAGCTGGCTCTGGGGCCCCAAAAGGTGAATCAGGCTTAGCACCAACTGTGGAGATAGGTAGACCAGATAGATAGGACAGCAGTGATCGGTAGTAGTATGGATTTTGGGCAGCACTCACTAGAGTGCTGCTGGAACACATGAGGGCTCTGGGGAGTTGTTGATACCCTGGTGGAGACGGATGTCCTGGAAGGGGTACCACTTGGGATGAAGGACCTTCTAGACAGAAGGAACACTGAGCAAAGGCATTGCAGGGGAAGTGTTCTGGAATGCTCTGTGACACAGCCAACGTTTGTAGTCTAGAGGGGGGCCACAGGAGGAGTTCAGGCTGCATTCCGTGGTCTAAGACTCACAGCCAAGGAGGCAGATCACAACTATGCATTCTGAAGGCCTCTGAAGCGGAGGTCTAGGGTGAGTGGAGCCAGCCTTCCTAGCACATCCAGATTCCACCCCCAGCACCTCACAAGCAAACCTCACAGATGTGCCTGAGTGGGCGCGTGCAGGGTGGGCTTCTGGAACCTTGCACCCATCCTTGGAGCTCCAAACTATTGCCACAGGGACAAAGAGCCACAAGAAGATGGCCTGGCCAGGCTCACCACTTGGAACTGAACAGACGGCGGAGGACACGTGGGGACTCATCAGGACACCACAGCAAGGACAATGTCTGGAGGAATTGGTGCCCTCCAGAGAGAAAAAAGCAGCCTTAAAAAGTCACAGAAGACAGACCCTGATAGAATTTGGGGTCTAAGAATGCTGGGACAGGAATGATGATGGGCAGAGAGGCACTCCTGTCAATAGGAGAATCTAAAACCAGGTAGTGGCTCCTCGCAGCCTTAAGGGCAAGGATTTCTTTTCAATATTGACAAAAAGTATGTGGGGTTAAGAAGATAGTTCAGTGAGTAAGAGCTTTGCTCTGCAAACATGAGGGTCTGAGTTCAGATCTCCAGTACTTGTGAAAGAGATCGGGCTTGGCTATGTGTGCCTGTGATTCCAGCATTGTCAGGTGGAGACTGATGGATCCCGAGAGCTTGCTGGCCAGCCAGCCTAGCCCAGTAGGTAAGTTTCCGGTTCAGTGAGAGACCTTGCTTCAAGGCAATAATGTGGAGAGCAATAGAGAAAGACACGAGACACCTGCTCTGACCTCTGAACACAGCTGAGCGCGTCCAGACACTCACATGCATGTACTCCCACACACACATGCATGCACATGTCCTGATAGTTGATAGTAAGACAGACTTACAAGAACAGAAAATTCCCAGTGACCCAAGCCCTGGGGCTTCTGAAGAGGGTTTAGACCCCTCCCTGTATGTACCACAGCGGCACAGGTACATACAAGATGCAGAGCAGATGGGCAGGTCCTGACGATGGATCTGGTCTCACTGGTATGTGACCTTGGACTTACGGACTAAATGAGTAGTGTTGACCAATGGGGTCTGACGCAGCTTTTGCCCCTGGAGACACGTGTATGCAGAGGACTGGAAGATACCTGCCATGTAAGAACTCCTGGGAGGCCTCTCTAGGATTGCTGCTCCTGGCAGGTGTGAGGACCCCCGGGTCATGGGTGGTGGTCTTTGGCAGGGACACCTTGTTGTTGACCTCCTAGATTGTAACATGGGACATAGCTGACAAAAACATGTCCACAGACTGATCATTGTCCCATCACTAACCTGCATTGTGCCCTTGTGAGGCAGTGATTCTTTGACCCCAAGGCATAGAGCTAAGTACCTGTCCCTACTGTGACTTTTACTACATTAAAGTTAGACCGGAGTTTCAGTATGATGCAACTGAACTATCTGGGAACCTGGGAGGCCCTTACCTTGGCATGCAGATGTTGGGAGACCCCACTGCTCAGAGGTTGCAGTCTACCCTAGCTTAGCAGCTCTCCCCGGGCTTGGCACAATATAAAAGAACTCCCACCCCCAAGTGGGGACTTCCTGCTCTCTACCTATCCTTATCTGGAAGATATCTCTACCCAGGATGTCTGACTTATCTCAAGGATGACTCTTGACACAGTTCCTTGCTAATGCTCTTCCCTCGCTGCCTACATGGTAATTAAATAGCATGCTCTAGCTATTTTCATAGGGCCATGCTGTCACTAGTCCAGCTATGATAGGAGTTTGCCACATAATGCAAATTAGGGTTTGCCCCAGCTAACACCTGAATCCTATATATCCCCTATACTTTGAAATAAAGTTGGGCTGTCTCATTGAATCTGTTTCCCAGAATGTTATTTCCACTGTGTTTGCAGGCCATCTAAGTCTCTCTGTCCTCGCCTCTGCCCCTTTGTTTGTCCTTGCTGGCCAATGGGCTTCAAGGAAAAAGGAGACCCCACATGCAGAATGCTGTCATCACCCGCCTGAGCCTGGCTTCTTGAGGGCCTGGGACTCAGGGCATGGCTCACTGAGGCTGCTGTCCAGCCATGGTGGCTGGCCGCTTTGCACACGTGGCTGGAGCGGTCAGATTGCCGTGCACGAGTGCCCCCTCACCACTCCCACCCCGCCTCCTCTGCAGGACTGCTGGGACAGTGGGCAAGCTGATGAGCCCTACGCAGGATTCCTGACAAGCAAGGGAAAGGGACTTAGGGATCCTCAGCCTGGCTGTGTCCCTGATGGCATGGTTACCTCTTCCTTCCTGGCCTTTGCCCTGCCTCCTTCTGTTGAAACGAGCAAGGGAGGAGAGAGTGGAAATAGTCTACAAAGTGCCTTTGCACCACTTTGCACAAGCTGAAGCCCTTGGGGGATTCTGGGTATAGACTGGTGCCAGGGCCAGAAGTAAAGGAGTTAAGGAAACTCCTTGGCTGGGGACTGGGCAAGGGAGAAGAAGGGAGATCAGTAGGATCAAGAAGGCCGCTGGTCTCTCTGATACAATGCCGGGCAGCTAGTGCATCCCTCAAAAGGAGACGGTCACCCTACAAAGGGCTTCTGTGCCTCACAGACAGCTGTCCAGGAAGGGATCAAAGAGCTGCTGGGGTAGACCAAGGCTGGATGTGCCCTGCAGCATGGTTAATAGGGAGCAGGAGGCATGTCCCCACACAGCCCTGCTAAGTCTGTCTTCGTGAAGCTGCAGATGAGCCCAGAGTGGGGATGCCAAGAAGGAAATGGAGTGTTTGCCACTGTGCTGAGGTAAGCTCTCTGTCCCAGTGCTGTAGGGCAAAGGTAAGTAATGGGGCAGGGTTCTTTGCCCTTGCTGAGTTCAGACTATAATTAATACCTGTACACGAGGACACAGAAACTTGGGAGGGACCTGAGTAGCCCAAGAGCTCCTGGTCAGTATGGAGAGAAAGCAGGATCAGGGCTGGTACCACACATGTGAGCCTCTAAGCCTAGTTCTGTTGACCTCAAAATGAGGGACCCAAGGCAGGCATGGTGGTACACAACTATGACCCCAGCATTTGGAAGGTTAGGCAGGAAGACCAGGGGTGCAAAGCCATCCTTGGCTCTATCATGACATGAAGCCAGCCCGGACTATGTATTAGCTGGGGTTCTCTGGAGGAAGAGATCCTATGGGTTGAATATATATATATATGTACATATATATATTAAAGAATTTATTAAATCAGCTTACATTAAAATAGCAACAACAACTGAATCACACCTGAGAGGCTGGGAGCCTGGTGGCTGCTTGGGCCTTGAGACTGCATGCCTCAGCTGTTGGAGTAACCCCATGGTAGATTTCTCTCACTGTGGCAACTTGGAAGATGCTCAGTCCACGAGGCTGGGTGCCTCCTGCAGTCCCATGCTGACTCGGAAGCCTGAAAGCTTCCGCAGTCCATGACAACAGACTGGGGATGCTGCTTCTATCTTCAGTGGAGGAATCAGCCTCAAGGGCAACAAGGTAAAGGGACTCAGCATGTGGGAAGGCCTGTGAGCAGCAGGAGACCACCTTCCCTCTGCAGGCCTTTTAAACTGGACTGCTACCAGGAGGTGCCACCCACATACGGGCAATGGGGCAATGGGGACAGTTCTTTAGGAGAGGCTCCCCTTTCCAGGTGTCCCTAATTTTTGACAAGTCGACATCCAAATCAACCATAATAGGCTTTCTGAGACCCTATCTCAATGCAAAAACAATAAAATGATAAAAAAAATCAAGAGCCCAAATGTTCAACAGAAGGCACTGTCAAATGCACTTGAAGTAGGAGAAACACACAGAGAAAGAACTGTGTGCCAACATGGGGTAGCTGGCAAGGAGTCCTTGGAGGGGAAACTTGAAGAGCAAAAGCAGGTACTGGTGTGGACTAGCCAGCAGCCCTCAGGAAGCTGAAGCAGGAGGATTGCAACCTGCCCGGACTACAAAGTGGAACTCTGTCTTTAAAAAGAGAGGGGATGGGGTGGAGAGGAAGGGAAGGAGGGGGGAGAGGGGGAAGAGAAGAGGGAGGGAGAGCAATTGAAAGAGAAGGAGGGGAAGAAGGGGAGGGGAGAGAAGAGAAGGAAGAAGAGAGGAAGAGGATAAAGAGGAAGATGGAGAAGCAGATGGGTCTGGGGAGGAACACTCTGGGGCCGCAGGGGAGTCTGGTGACACAGGCTTGTAGTTCCAACAACTCAGGGGGACAAGGCGGGAAGGAATACAAGCCCAAGGGCAGTCTAGGCCACTTAGTGAGACCCTGTCTTGAGAAACATCTTTTTAATTAAAAAGAAAGCTGGAGAAGCAGTTCGGTGACAGAGTGCTTGTCTAGCGTGGGCCAGGGCCTAGGTTGGATCCTGAGTATCAGAGAATGGCAGGGGGGCAAAGAAACTTCACACTGGAGCCTCCTGGGTGGAGACGGGCATGGACCCACAATCAAATGATTATGACGCATTAAAAAATAACATTTTTATAAGACGTGAGTGACAGAGACTGTCCTTGTTCAATACACTTAAACCCAACCAAACAGACCCTGTGCTGAGCACCCAGACATGCCAAGCCTTTGGTGGGTGCTGTGGCTTCCCAACAAGGGACAGGCTGCTGGTCTTCTCCCAGCAGGAGCCCAGGCCCCCCAGCCAGACTGAAGGATGGATGCCCCCAGGATTCCCATAACCTCTCCCCTGCTGTGCACCCTAGCCTGAGAGCCTCTAGGAGGGGTGAGGAGTGGCTAGCCTCTGTGGGTCCTGGTGACCATCCTAAGGTCTGAGCCAAAACCCCTAAAGTCTACCCTGCCCGGCTGGGCCCCTGCTCGCTGGGCTTGGAGGAATAGGATGTCATCTTGCACAATCTGCCCTTTCTTCTCCGGCTATAGTGTGCCCTGTAGCATCCAAGGCAGCCATTACCATGAGGGGGAGAGAACAGTGAGCCCCCGAGTGATGCCGGGCTTGGTGGGCAGGCAAAGTCTCCAGGAAAGCAGCTGAAACCCACCGCTTGGGGGCTCCCTCTGGCCTAGGTCTGGCCTCTGCATTCCCTCTCAGCCATGCTGCTAGCCTTTCCCTGCTGGTGGCAGCCTGGATACACTTCTTTCCTAGCATTCCAGAAATGTCCATGAGTGCCACATGAGGAAGAAATGAGTATGTCACCCATTGTGTGTTTCCGACGTCCTGCGAGCAGGGCTGCTCAGTCTGGAGAAGTCCTGGCGGAGTGAACGATGCTCCCTGCTCTGGCAAGCCTTCCCGGATCCTGGGTTACTCTAATACATACATACACCTGAGGGAGCAGAACCATGACAGGAGCAGAACCAGCGTTTTAACCCAGGTGTCCTAATGCCGCCTTCGAGGCTCTTCACAATGTTGGAATGCAAGGGAGTTCAAAGTCCAGTTAGTATAACCTGGAGTTTTACAAATGATGAAGAGGAGGGAAAGTGACACAGCGTGCAGAGCCAAAGCCGGATGGCAACAGCTTAGGCCTCTGTCCCGTTGGTGCCCCCTAGCACCAAAGGGGGTGCAGTGGGGAGAAAGACAGCCTGGAATGCAAATGTGTATGTTTTCAAATTTCTATAAAGACCACTTTTGGAATGGTACATCATGTCATGGTCACAAGGGCACCAACTTGCAAAGTGTGCCCTTGACCTTCCTGGATGGCCCTGGTGGTCCTTGGCCTTCTTTCCCCCTGTATCTGTGTGGCTGGAGCCAAGGAGATAAGAAGGGGACAAGGAGATAATAGCTTGAGAAGGGACTGGAAGCTGGTGGCCATCGCTCCCAAGAGGGCAGGCTTTGGGGGTGTGGATGGATCCCCACTAGTGGGCACCCCACCTGCACACTCTGCCAGCACGATGGGAAGGCGGGGAGCCAGGCCGTGAGTGAGGGTTGCGTCCCTCCTCTTCTCGGGCTATTCTTCGCCACAGTCCCCGCCGAAGCCCCACTGTCTTGCCAGTCTCTAACTTGCCTGACACAGTTATTTATCTTCCAGTACTCCCTGAGACACAGGTGAGAAACAGGCATCTCAGGATCAAGCGACTTGCCCAAGACCACACTTCATTTCCTGTGAGTGGAAGGAAGAGCTGAGGGCGGGGTGGGGTGGCGTAGCGCGGTGGGGTGAGGTGGGGGGGCTGCAGGTCTCTGTTGACTTAATGATGACTGAGTGAGTGTCTCCCTGAGGTCCTGGGCAGGAAGCTGTGCTGGATGCTCCTCTGAGCCACGTGTCCCTGGTTTTCATCTGGGGAGTATTGTTCAGTTAACAGAGATCCTGGAATTGGTTTCCAAGAAGTAGATATGCATTAGGGAGGCTGGGATCTCCTTGTTACTGTCTCATGACCACACAGTCCCCAAATCTCACCTGAGTGTGACACAAAGCTGAAAGGAGACCCCCAACATTGTCCTCAAGAGCTAGGAACGATGACCTGATGACTTACATTTGGAAATCTATTTTAACTTTGCTGTGTGATCCTCAGGCCAGACTTTGCCTGATCTTCAGACCAGCCTTCTGGCCACCAAACCAGTCACCTCTTATGTCAGCTCACTGAACAGCGAGGCTCCACTCCCTTAGCAAGCTCCTGGAGAAGACGCTCTGAAAAGCATCCTATGAGGAGTTGAAGAATGAACACCACGGCCCTAAGCAAGGCTCGTGTTGGGAATTGAACATGCTGGACCCAGCAACCCCACCCGCCTGCTCAGAAGCAGCGGCTCATTTCCAAGAGCTTCCCTCCCTTGATTTGGCCTGTTTTCCAAACACGGGTCAAACGGTCCCTCTCCAGAGTGGCAGGAGCAGGAAAACGTTATTAAAAGTGAGCCGTTAGTGGGCATCGGGTGTGGATGAGGTCTATGCAGTTTTGGCTGCCAAATAAAGACTGTATTGTTGTCATTCCTCCTTTCCCAAGCGCCCTCCCTCTCTTCTGTTCCCTCCTCCTCCCCTCTGCCCCCCCCACTCCCATCTGCCCCTCCCTCCCCCTAACCTACCCTCCCCACCCCAATAGGATCTGGTGGAAGAAAGTCAGGCAGACACACGCAGACACCAGGCACGCACTACTGGGATACCAGAACTCCTAGCTGGCTCTCTGCTGCCACGGCTCCACCAAAAGGTGGGGAGGAAGAGAGGAGTGCCCCAGAGTCCAGAGGAGAGGCAGGTGTGTGCAGGTAAGCCGGACAGAGGGGGAAGACTAGAGACGAGAGGGCTCCTTCCTCCAAGGGCTCCCTCTAGCTCTGTCCAGTCTTTTTTCCTCCCCCACTTCCCTTCTTCCTCCCTTTTTTCCTCTCCACAGAGCTCAGGCTGTCTTCCTCATCTCTTGCTGACACCCTCACGTCTCTTCAGCATCCTATGCCCTTGTGTTTGCTTGCTGCTGAAGTTAAACTTTCTTCAAGAGCAGATGTTTGTTGAACACACAGAGCTGTGTCGCACACAGAATTTCAACAGAGCAGATGTTGCCATAGAAACTGGACACTAGAACCCAGTTCTCTGCACCTTTCATGTACTGTCACACATCACAGAAGACAGACAGACAGACAGACAGACAGACACACACACACACACACACACACACACACACACACTGTCTCTTGCCCTCTCACTGCCTCTCAGCTGCAAGACCAGAGAGAAAGTATCCATCCTCCCGCTGAGAACACAGACCCAGAAGACAATCATGTCTTGGCTGAGCAGGGAGGACATGAGCAATTGAGTGATTTTCTCTTTTCTTTGGAGCTTAATTAGGTAGGAGGGAGAGAGAGAGAAGTGGCTCTCGGGCCTACACAGTATCTTCTCAGCAGCCTGAATTCCTGCCTGCCTGGTCCAAACCACTTGGCTTTTGCAAAGAGAAGTCAACAGAGCCTGCAAGTCTTGGAGGCCCTATGTCCAAGTTAACAGTTTTCTTCTCTCTGCAGGTAGTCACAAACACATTTCTCTCTGAAGTTACTCTGAGATTATCCTGACCATTCAGTTGGTAAGGGAGCTTCTAGTAGAGAAGGGGGGAGGGGAACCTGAGAACCTTATTTGCATAACTCCCTCCCTTCCAGCTATAGAGGGGCACAGCAGGGGAAGCTTTGCTATAAACATAGCCAGACCCATCAAACAGGGCCCAAGGAGCCCCGAGCTGTTTTATTGCACCCTGAGACTCCCCTAGTGTTCAAGGCACAGAGGGCTGTGTGACTTCCTGAAGAAGGAGCCCCACTGTCCTAACAGTGGAGGTGACTGCATATGATTGCCCCCACCCCGCCTCCGCACCATCAGCAGCAGCCCGGGCAACCATATTCCCAGAGAACATTCTAGCAAGAAAGGAAGTTACCTCAAGACAGCTTCTATTACCTGCTAGGCTACCTATCCCAGGCACCCAAGAACTGGTATTGGGCACTGTCTCCATCCCTTTTAGACCCCCTCTCCCTAGGCTCCACAGCCCTGTTCTGCTTGACTCTCTCAGAGGACAGACCAGATGATAATAAGTCCCATACCCACCCATACTCCCCAGGAGAGCATGTGAGTAGAGCCTCTCCAGGCAAAAGAAACAAAAATGACAGGCTGGGAGAAGCCACAACCAGCAGAAAAGAGTGACGTCCCTTTGCTGGCTAGGGTCCCCATCTGCTGCAGAAAGCAGAGAGCCAGGCTAGACAGTCAGGATGATGATAAGATGAGCTTTGCCCAGGTGTCTGGGAGAGTTCCAGCCAGCTGATTCTGAATGCCAAATGTGGTCTTCTTCACCTCAACGGACATGAAGTTCCTGTGAGTGGAAAATCTAGTATCTATACTGCAAGTAAGACCCCTGCCTTCCAGCAGCAGAGGGAACCAGGCTGATAGGAAAACAAAACAAACAACAAACAAAAAAACCTATTCATTCAAAGTGGTACCGGGGACCCCTTGACATACACTGAGCACACACTTTGCACATCAATGTCCTGGATGGGAAAGCAGCCCAGTGGTAGAGTGCTTGTATAATACCCACAGAGCGCTTGTTTTGGTCTTTAGCAACTCAGAGTTGCCCAGCATGCCCACTTTACAGATGAGAAAACTGAGCTTGTGAAGTGGTACCCAGCTAAAATAAGTTGCAGGGTGGAATCTGTACCTATACCACATTCCATCTTCTTGCTTTAGTCAAGGATCAAAGATGTTGGGGAGAGAAGCAGGAAGGCAGATATACGGGGCAGTGGGCTGTTAGGGATTGCCTGTCTATCTGATTTCTTCCCCATCCCACCCCCACCCCTCACCCCCTCAATGGAGAGCTTGCCCTTTCAGATTAGTTCCTAAAACCATAAAACCTCCACTCTGTTTATATTCGCCCGTTGAACCAGGAACATGATGGTTCCTCTGCAAATAGCGTCACACTTGTTTTTAGCACATTTTGATCTGCATTTCATTTTAAAATTGCTTGTGCTGTTTACATCTGATAGCTGGGTAGGCTTCATCCAACCCTAGTTTACACTGTGCATTTAGAAGGACTACTCTCCCTGGGCTGTCCTGGCCCACAGTACCTCAGACCCATGCTGCAGGAGTCCAAATGTGGACAACCCCTGGGCTCTTAGCACAGATAAACAGGGCAGGTAGGAAAGAGGACTGTCTCCCTTTAAACTCAGGGAGCCTCTCCCAGAGCCTGCGTCTATGCATGAGCTCATCCCATCCTCACACAGATGTCAAGCCTGCGGCCCAACAGAAGAGTCAGAGCCAGGTCCACGCTGTCAGAGCTGAAATTTGAGTTGTAAGACCTCTTAGTAAAGGCGTCTACAGGTAGATTGTGAACTGGGATTGGGTGAAGCCACTGCTCCCTCTGGGAAGCCCCAGCCCTCTGAGCCAGCCCTGGAGAGCCAGGCTACATGAGTTTGATGAGGGGCGGTCAACAAGTGCTCATTGATTGAGGGTGAGCAGGGCCAATAGGGTGTGGGACTGGATGGGACTTGGGGAGGTATGCGTTCAGAAGCATAAGTGATTTTAAGTACAGACACCCCGCCCTAAGGGAGCTAATGACTTAGAGGATGGGATCATAGGACCCTGGCTCTGGGCTTTGTTGGTGAGACTACAAACCCCTCTGGAGAGAGGCTACCTCCAGTCTGTCTCAGCTCTCCTCTACAGAATGATAGAGCAGCAGAAGAACACGGCTAGAGAGAACTGCTCTGCAGTGAGACCTTCCCAGAAGCCCAGCACAGCCCTGCTCAGCAGGAAGGGGTGTGCCTGAGAGGAAGGCCTTGGAAATGAATACAGCTTCCTTGTGCACTCTGCACACAGATCTCTGGTTCAGCCAGAGGCCTGAAAGAGGGGAGGACTGGTCCTCTTCCCCCACGGAACTCCTCACTTCAGATCCAGCTTGTTTTGGGGGAGCCTCCTGGGGAAGAAAGGGTTCGAAAAGACTCTGACCTGGAGATGAGGATGAGTAATGCCTGGTGACCCCATGCCTGAGCCAGGCAGGTAGAAGTGAGTGGGATTCCCATTGGGATAGCCTTGACAGTGGAGCCAGGACTGCCCAGCACACTGACATGAGACCCGTTGCCATCCCCAGCAACAGAAGCCAGCTGTCCCTGATACCGTGCCTCCTAAGGCAGGCTCTGCTGGGTCTCCTGGAAAGTTTGTTTGGCTAACTTGGGGTCCATTACTTCACCTTGGAAGTGCCTTTGGCCACAAGGGCAATAAAGAGAACTAGGGAACTTCAGTCAGACCAAATTTTGGCCTTGGGGCAAGGTTTCTCACAGCACAGGGGTAATTTTTCCTACAGACTTCTGGGTAATTCATAAACAAAGAGATTCAAAAAGAACAGAAAAACAAATCAGGGTTGCAAAGACCAGCACTTTAAACATGTTTTTGGAATAGTAATGCCTCACTTTCCTCATTTCTATGTAATATGACTGTTCTATTTTCAAGAAAATTACACGCCTTATAAAAATGTGAGTTCCTACACACCAGTTAGAAAGTGATTGGAATCTAGCAACAAGACTCAAGCTCAAGTGCTGCAAGGGACACGTCATCTATTTAGTCCTTTCAGAGGAGCCTCGGTGCCCACCAACCACCATCTAACCGCAGGCTCCTTGTCACAGAAGGCCCAGGGAAAATGACCTTCTAAACGTACCTGAGAGGTCTGTCTGAGAAACCCACCCCAGGCAGGAGAGAGAAGCACCAGGCAGGATGGCCTCTGCCCTCCCAGTCCTACCCTCCTTCTCACACAGACCAACATACAAAGCTCAAACGTGCATACAGGGCCCTGAGAATGTGTGTTTGCCCATGTGTACGTGAGAGGGCTCAGTGTATGTACAGAGTGATACAGGCTGGGTGGGGCAAAGAGGTGTGTGTGTGTGAGTGTGCATGTGTGTGAGTGTGTGTGTGTTGTGTGTGTATGCGTGTGTGTGTGTTGTGTATGTGTGTTGTGTGTGTGTGTGTGTCGTGTGTCTGTGTGTGCGTATGTGTGTGCATGCCTGTGTGTGTATGTATGCGAGTGTGTTGTGTGCATGCCTGTGTGTGTATGTATGCGTGTGTGTTGTGTGTCTGTGTGTGTATTTGTGTGTGTTGTGTGTATGTGTGTTGTGTATGTATGCGTGTGTGTTGTGTGTCTGTGTGTGTATTTGTGTGTGTTGTGTGTATGTGTGTTGTGTATGTATGCGTGTGTGTTGTGTGTCTGTGTGTTGTGTTGTGTGTATTCGTGTGTATGTGTATGTATGATGTTTATATATGGCTGGGGACAGGCATAGTCAGCTTCTGCCCACTAGGGGCTGAGCTCTGCCTTCTTTTCTGCTATTTGTCACACTCAGCTCTGCCTGAGCTTCTGACACACAACTTGGGGGCCCCCACCCCATGCTCCTTTCCTTTGATTAAAGCATGCAGAAGGTAGCCCCTAGAAAAAGCAAAGGAAGATCTGATATGGACTTAGGGTTAGGGGGGATAGAGACCTAGACCAGAGGCTGTGAGCACAGGGTTCAATTACAAGCTAGGGACACAGTTAGCCCATTCTGCCTCTGAGAACTCCAAGAAGCCTGCATTCCAGATCGACAATGGTGAGGAAGATTTGAGGTGAGCCAGTGACGAGCTATGGAAAGTATCAGGGGTGAGGAGGATACAAAGTACAGGCCTTCTCCCTGTGCCCTTCCCACCCCTGGCTGGAGAGGGGAACCCATGGGAGTGGCCACTCTAGCTAGTATGGATCATTTGCTATTCCCCTCTTTCAACTGAGCTTCAACCACAGAAGGCAGCAGAGCCACCCAAAAGCCCCTTCAGCTCTTGACCCCTGTGTTCCTGAGGCTACCAAGAAGTTCTTCCTAATAATCCATTTTAACACAACCGATTCCAAAGTAACCCGAGTGACAACACCAGCTCTAAAGAAAGGAAAGTGTTTTCCCCTTTCTTTCTGTTCCTTTCCTGTTTATTTTCCCAAGGGCCTCTACATCTGGGGAGGAATTCTTGGCATGGCTCATGTTGGCAAAGGCCAGCTCTCTCCGAGCCAAGTGCAGGGGAGGGGACAGAGCATGGGTGAGTGGGTGAGTGTCTGAGCATTTCCCTTTCAGGAGACCTCCTGCATTTTTTCCCCTGTGCACACCGTCAAGCAGCCTCCTGACCCCCACAAGCCACTTCTTTCCTCCAGTCTCAACTGTATAAATAGTGGGGACTGGCCATGGTGGATTGCAGACCCTTGTTAGCAATGACTTTTTTTTCTTCAAATGCTTTGACTAACCACCCTCGGTGTGTGTGTGTGTGTGTGTGTGTGTGTGTGTTCTTATCTTTCTTAGTATTTCTATCTGTCTATAACAGATTCAAACAGGAAGCCTGTTCATGATAGCAGAGGAGTCACCTTGGGGGCCTCCTCAAGGGATGCATAGGAACAGAGCTTCACAGTTTGAAAACCACTGTCATAAGGGATTTGTAAGGAATCTTCCAGACCCACTGGACCATATCCTAGCTTCTCCCCTAAAAGGGTCGGGAACTTTTCTTGGGGGAGGGGTGATATAAAAAGTGTCCAGTGGATTTTGACATCACTCCATGGCAGAGCACTACTCCTTAGAGGAGTGGATTGATCGTTTTATGTTACAGCCGGGGAGAGCCTCGCACCCCTAGTGAAGGGTCTCCAACATGCCCTGGGGTCCCAGAACCTTGTGCTTTCTATCAACAGATTCCTTCCCACCAGGGGGGCAGGACTCCTTGAAGAGTTCCAAAGCCCCAGGAGGTCCCCACCTGCTCTTCAAGTCCCTGGCCCTGCCTCTCTCCCCAGGATTTAGTTCAGGAGGAGCCCTGCTACACAGACTTGCCTTCTATTCCTGAGGCCCAGCAGGCTAATTATCCCCAGTTTCCTCCCTGCAGGTACATCACCTGAATTATGAGGGCATCCTTCTTCTGGCTCCTCCCACTTCTCCTCATCTTGGCCTCAGTGGCCCAAGGCCAACCAAGACCAAAACCTGGGATCAGGCGGAAACCCAAGCCAAGGCCCACACCCAGCTTTCCTCAGCCCCATGAGCCGGCAGAGCCTACAGACCTACCTCCACCCCTACCTCCCGGCCCTCCATCTGTCTTCCCTGACTGTCCTAGAGAATGCTACTGCCCTGCTGACTTCCCATCAGCCCTCTACTGTGACAGCCGAAACCTTCGCAAGGTCCCTGTCATCCCGCCGCGCATCCATTACCTTTACCTGCAGAACAACTTCATCACCGAGCTCCCTCTGGAGTCTTTCAAGAATGCCACAGGCCTGAGGTGGATCAACCTGGACAACAACCGCATCCGCAAGGTGGACCAGAGGGTGCTGGAGAAGCTCCCCAGCCTGGCGTTCCTCTACATGGAGAAGAACCAGCTGGAGGAGGTGCCGGCAGCTCTGCCCAAGAACCTGGAACAGCTGAGGCTGAGCCAGAACCACATCTCCAGGATTCCACCGGGCGTGTTCAGCAAGCTCGAGAACCTGCTGCTCCTGGATCTGCAGCACAATCGGCTGAGTGACGGCGTCTTCAGGGCCGACACCTTCCAGGGCCTCAAGAGCCTCATGCAGCTCAACCTGGCCCACAACATCCTGAGAAAGATGCCACCCAAGGTCCCCCCGGCCATCCACCAGCTCTACCTGGACAGCAACAAGATCGAGACCATCCCTAATGGCTACTTCAAGGGCTTCCCCAACCTCGCCTTCATCCGCATGAACTACAACAAGCTGTCAGACCGAGGGCTCCCCAAGAACTCCTTCAACATCTCCAACCTGCTGGTGCTCCACCTGTCGCACAACAAGATCAGCAATGTGCCGGCCATCAGCAACAAGCTGGAGCACCTGTACCTCAACAACAACAGCATTGAGAGTGAGTGGGATGGGGCCGGGGCCAGCCACAGGGAGAGCAGACACTCGGGAGCACGGGTAGGGGTGACAAGAAGTAACTACTGGGACAGGGGTGTAGCCTTCTAGAGTTCATTCTCTGTGTAGCCCTGGCTGTCTTGGAACTTGCTCTGTAGATCAGGATGGCCTCAAACTCAGAGATCCGCCCGCCTCTGTCTCCAGAGTGCACCACCACTGCCTGGCTTAGAGTTCTTTTTAACATGCATAAGACCTTACCTTCCATACTTAGCACTGAAGAAAGGGGAGGGAGGGGGGAAACTACTTGTTTTGACTGTGGTCTCACTATCTGCTGCATCTGTGTGACCTGGAAGAGATATTCTACCCCTATGGAACATTCCCTTACCTGTAAAATGAGGATGGCAGTAGTATCTTCCGACACAAAGTCAATAGGACGAACTGATTGTGTGTGTGTCAAGTGTCCTGAACACCATGCTTGACAGGCATGAGGTTTCCTTCCTGCATCCTTCTCATCTGCATCAGCTTTTCAGGCCACTGGACTTATAAACAGGATGGACACAGAAATTCTGATGGGTGTTTTCCTGAGAGTAGAATAGAGATGATACAAAGTGCCCGATTCTGGGCCTGCCACTGCACATGATGTCAGCAGCAGCCTTGGCAGGGGACTTCCCAAATCTAAGCGGTGGTTATAAGAAGTCACTGAGGAGGACTCAGAGGAAGCTATGTAGTCAGGAGGTAGAGCTCGTGAAGATGGGACAGGGGATGTCTATCAGATTCCTGATTCTAGACCGGAAGGTTGCGTGTGTTCAGCCGGCACAGTTTTCCTAAGGAACACTTACAGGGTCCTGAGCTTGCTGTGTCAACTGTAGCCCAGGACTTGAGGCTGGAGCTCAGTTTTGCTTCAGTCAAAAATATCAGGCCAGACATAAGGGTATGTGTGTGTAGCCCCAGAACGTGGGGGAGGAGGCAAGAGAATTGGGAGTTCAAAGCAGTCTTGGACTCCATGAGACCCTGTTTCAAAAACTAAACATAAATAAATAAATAAACAAATAAATAAATAAAATAACAAAGCTCTGTCAACTGGATATGGTGGCGCACACCTGTAATTCTGGGTTTTGGGAGACTGAGGCACAAGGATGGAGAGTTCAAGGTCAGCCTGGGGGTACAACGGCTCTGAGTAGAGCACCAACAAAAGGCTCAGAAAGAGATGAGTGTTAGCCAGGCGTTGGTGGCGCACGCCTTTAATTCCAGCCCTCGGGAGGCAGAGGCAGGTGGATCTCTGTGAGTTCGAGGCCAGCCTGGTCTACTGAGCGAGTTCCAGGACAGTCTCCAAAGCCACAGAGAAACCCTTTCTCAAAAACAACAACAACAACAAAAAAGAGATGAGTGTTTTTCAGCCTTGAACAAACCATTCGTGCAAGAAACACACAGCCCATCGTCCCCAACTGAAGCCATTTGACTGACTGTAGAGGCTAGGTGATCTACAGCCACACCATCCCAAAGCCACCCTGCCCAGAGAGGAGAACTGTAGAGTCCACACTCTTGGTTGTCATCCCCCCTTTCCTCATCCATGCTGCAGGTTCCTCTGTGGCTGATTTCTCCCCTTCTTTCTCCGTAGAAATCAACGGGACCCAGATTTGCCCCAACAACCTAGTGGCTTTCCATGACTTCTCCTCGGATCTGGAAAACGTGCCGCACCTGCGCTACCTGCGGCTGGATGGGAATTTCCTGAAGCCACCCATACCGCTGGACCTTATGATGTGTTTCCGCCTCCTCCAGTCTGTGGTCATCTAGGCTGTGCCCAGAGCTGGACTCCCTCTGACAGCACTTGAAGGCCGGTGGCCCGTGCTCTGGTGTCCACCATTTTTCTCTGTCTCCCTCTTGCTCCCAGCCCTGACTCTCTTCCCACCCCTTTCTGAGGACGGGAAATGCCATGTGCCCCGCTCCAGCTCTAAGCCAGATTCCCCGCCGAGTCCAAAGACAGCCTGACAGCCGAAACCTCTGGTCTTCTTTGGTCTCCCTTTGCTTCAGAAACATAGGCGTATGCCAACAGACGCATCCCCTCCCTCCCTGGGTAAGGCCATGGACTGATACCTTTTCTTAGTCTTAGTCAAGCAAGAATCGGAAGCCATCCCAGAGGTGCACACTGGAAAGTTCTGCTGAGAGCTCCTCCACCTTGGCCATCTCTGCCCAGGTCTCCTGGGCCAAGATCCCTTCTTCTAAAGCTATCGCTCTGCCTCCCTGTTTCCTGACACCAGACATCACCCGTCTCTCGGCTGCCTCGCAGTGTCCAGGAAGGAAGTGTGTGGGAGTGACTGAGGCGGTCATGGCTCCTCACACACTTCTCCCCATCAGCCCTTCCTCCTCTCCTCTCCTTTCTCCTTCGGGTCAAGCACAGCACACACCCTCTTGGCTTTGCCTCAGAGAGGAACAGCCAGGGAGAAGAGTGGTTCAAGGAACTAGAATTTAGCTAATGGGTGGTGGCTAGGAGTCAGAGTCCCAGAATGGGCCTGTGTGGATGTAGATGAGTCCTACAGTTTCCCTGACCCAAACTTGACAAGAGACCCAAAGCCCTGGAGGACAGTGCTCACAAGGGAAGGCCAAGAGGCAGCATCCCAGACTCTCTCTATTATGTGTGTGACCCAGCCCCTGCCCCAAAGGCAGTTCCTAAGAAACAGGGAAAAGGAGGGTGGAGCACCTGGAAATCTCCCAGAAGCCTCTTTCACACTGGGGATTAGCCTCCGCCTCTAAAGCAGACTCATCGGTGACATCTGGTGGCTGGTGAAGGCCACAGCCGACTCCACTCTCCTTGCAAACGGCTTCCTTGGGGGAAGAGGCCAGCCGTGCATGACTGACTGTGTGTCTGTCTCCTTACCGGTGTAAAGGCAAGGGCAGAGGTGGGGGATCATTCCCATCATGAGTGAGTGTGAATGGGGAAGCTTTGGGAGTCGAAGGGAAGCTAGTTTGACCTCAGCCTTGTCAGGTCTCTAGCTCTCAGCCTCAGGCGGTAGGTGGGATGTTCCCCCAAGTTCCCTCAGAGCTGTGTTGCATGCCTGTGCATGTTCTTCCAGAGCACACCTAACGCAGGACAAGTGGTGTCACCTGCCCCCCTGCAGTAATTTATTCCCTGGGCAAGTGCCCCTCCCCCAAAGGCTTCCCTGCCCTCCCTTCCCAGCCCAGCCCAGCAACTTGGCAGGTTTCCAAGAGCCTGGGCTTCTGGCCTTTTCATTCTCTTCACCTCCCTCTTAGGAGGCTGCCCCTACCCCACCACAGTTTCCCAAGTATATGATGGAAAGGACTGTGGGGAGATGAATGTTCTAGAAGTGAGTGAAGCACAGAGCCCCACCCCCTCATTAGGATGGGGAAGGCTCTGGAGGCTTTTGCATCGCCCCAGGAATAGTGTCACACAACTGTTTTTAAGACATTGGATTATGCTGGGCCTGATAGTCCAGAAATCCCATTTATATTCTTGATCACATTTCTCATCTGCTCATGATTGAAAATAGAGCTCACTTCACACAACTTCTTTTCCCCTTGCCATGAAATTTCCTTTCTTCCTAATTGCAGCTGGTTTCTCCAAGGCTCCTGCTTAAGTCAATACAGTATTACAGCTGAAGCAACCTGGTGCTATGGCCTGGACAAGCCCCTTCTGCATCTATGCACAACCTGCAGCCCCTTTGTTGGGGACCTTCAGGAGCTCCTGGCTGCTAGGTGGGCACTGATCCTGCATACCTGAACTAGCAGTCACACCATCAGCATCTCATTATCCCACCTAGAACATGCCAGCTTGCCCTACTGGTCTCTGCAGCTGTCGGCTAGAAGGGCTAGAGTTAAACTGACTTTACAGGCGACAGACAGATGCACACATACATATACTGTGTGTGTGTGCACACGCGCATGCGCGCTCACACGAGTGCGTGCACGCACATACATGCTAGTTACCTTTGGGTTTAGAAAGCCCCTTCTCACACAAGCTCATTTGCTCGGGACCATTGGAATCTATACATGCAGATGCATGCGTAGGTGTGTGTATGTGTATGTGCTCTGTACATATTATCTATTTTCTTAAAGACCATGCTAACTCTGATACAGCTTTCACATTTCAACAAGCTTCATAACAGAGGAAATAAAGTCATATGGAAAATACCCAGCATGCACCTGACCGTGTGGATGGGTCAAATGCTGTATGCCACCCGTCTCCCTACATCTTGCTGAGAAGACAGGTGAAGAAAATATCTTTCTTAAAAAGTGCTTTTTAGGTTTATGCTTAGCCAGCACGCATGTACGTGTGTGTGTGTGCGCTTGGTGCTTGCAGAGGTTAGAAGATGACACTGGATCCCCTGGCACTGGAATTATGAATGGCTGAGAGCCTCCATGTGGGTGCTGAGAACTGAACCCGAGTCCTCTAAATGAGCAGTAAATGCTCTTAATTTCTGAGTCACGTATTCAGCCCCAAAAATGTCTTAAGAAACTCCTAAGAGCCAGGAGTGGTGGTGCACACCTTTAATCCCAGCACTGAGATAACAGAGGCAGACAGATCTCTAGGAGTTTGAGAACAGCCAAAGTTACATAGTAAGACCTTGTCAAAATAAATGAACAATTTATAGGAGAGATATCCCAGAGCCTATTCTTAGAGAATTTCCCCCAATTCATAACCTTCATGAAAAATTATTCCTCAAGTCAGACTAGAAATCAAATAGCTCCATTTGTAACCGAGTCAGCCAGGCTCTTTCAACCCACAGATATCAAACTATGAAGTTTCTCGACGCTCAGAACCAAGGCAGACACTGGAAGACTCATGGTCACCTTTTCTACCCAGGAAAGATTGTAGACTAATTGGGGACATGCAGTATGAGCTGGAAATGCCCAGGGCAGACAGCCAAGAACCAAATGATCCAGAAAGGTCTACAAGTCACGCAGAAGTTCGAAAAGACAACAGTTACCAGGGCTATCTTTAGAGGAAATTTGACTACAGCAGAGGATTTGTGACCCTCCCAACCTAGGCTATCTTGTGTAGGATGAAAACAGACAGATGCCCTAGTCCCGCCCTCCCTGCCGGATAAGTGCCTGCTTCAGATCAACTGTACGCCAAGCAGGTCTGGGTTAAGAATTCAAGGGTGGACAATACATGCTCCATGCCTTTGGGGAATTAATAACTTGATAAAAGGGGTGGGGTGCATCCACGAATTCATTTTTTTCTTAATTGTGATGACATTAACTATAAGCAACTCAGAGGGGACCTACTCTCTGCCTAGGAAGTCTCATAGGAGCGGGCTCTAGTTTTGCCAGATAAGAGATAGAGAAAGCATATGACTTGGAGGAAAACAGCGGGAGCAAAAAGGTAGCCAGCTAGGCTGGGATCCAGTCCATGTCAGGGGTGGGGGTGGGGTGGTAGGGATTCTCAGTCCTCAGCGGTGAATACCAAAAGGCAGGCGGGTCCTTGAACCTTCTAACCATGTCTCCCTGCCCACAATAGAGCAGCAGCAGGGTCAGCTGGCCAGACTTCTGTCCACATGGCCTCTGTTCCATCCGCATGCCTCGTGTCTCTCCTAAAGGGCAGCGCTTGCCGGGCTCGCGGATCAGGGACAGATCCGGCCCACCTGCCGCTTCCACGCAGGTCCACGTTCCCGTCCACCAACGCCCCCGAAATCCATGGGAACAATCCCAAACTTGCGAAGGCAGGAATAGAAGCTAGGAGAAAGTGTAGGAAGAGAGCCTACACCGCAAAGAATTTGCCGGGGGGGGGGGAGTGCGGGGGGAATAGGGGAGGAAAGAGCGTGGGAGCCGACGCGTGCGCAGTGCAGAGCTGGCTGCGCCTGCCCGCCTCAAAGTGCGGGGGCGGATGCTCAGGGAAGGCGGTGGGACGATGGGGGGGTGGTGATGGACGAGCCGGCGGGAATGTGGAGGGTGGGGGAGAAGGGTGGGAGCAGGTGGCAGGGGGAATGAATGAACAGTCTCATCTGCATTCCTTGCAGGGACAAATGGCGTGGAGGTGGGAGGGGAGCATGCCCTCTGCTGTCTGAAGGGTCCGAGGGTCTCTGGAAGAAAAGAATGGAGGAGCAGAGCCAGCCAAATGTGCCATCTGCTTCGAGGGCATCCTCTTGGCTTAGGACTCTTATCTCCCTCTACCAAGCTGAGCTTCTGAAGGCTGTCACTCCCCAAAAGGGGGATCTCCCAAACAAAACAGCCTTGTTCTGGCAGGTGGCTTCTTGGGTTGCCATAAGCCCCTTCCCACACCAGCTGAGACCGCCTCGAGGTCTGGCTATTAGGTATGCCCACTCACCTGACATCACAAGCTGGGCATGGGTTTTGCCGTGGCCATCTGTTCTGGGGGCACAGAGTCACCATGTTCTTAGGATTCCTGGGATGAGGTTGAAAGAAGGTAATCCTTGTGAACCCAGAAGACACTCAAAAGGTGGTGTTGCCTTAGCTGTGGGTGACCTTGGACCAATCACCTCCTCTCTTTGGCCCTCCTCTACAGTAAGGAGTAGATAGATGATCTTCAGGGGCCTCCCAACAGAGATTCAGGTATGTCCAGAGAAGAGGCGGGAGTGGAGAGCGTCAGTGAAGAACGTGGGCAGCAGAATCAGGATGACATTCTCCAGCCCCTGCCCTCCTCTGGGGATACAGGGGGCATATCCCAAGGAAAGATGGGACCCTTGGAAGTAGGGTGGGAAGGTTCTAGGCCAGAGGTCATGCACAATGGCATGTTGTAAACCAAAGCTCCGAGGCTGTCCTTGTCCTTCCTTCCTTCAGGAGTTAGGGAACTTCCTGTCTTGGACTTGGTGACCACCATCTGTGAACTTGACGTTGGTCTTCAAATTCTATTCCACTCCCTGTTTCCCTTTGCGTCGCCAAAGCCCTAAAACCTTCCTTGGTGATCTTGCTTAATATGATCCCCAGTGCTCTAGGGGTAGGACTGGTTGGGGTGCCCCAGCCAGATTCTTTTCCCTTTGGGTTCCAACTATGAAGTCAAGTGTCGTCATTACTGGGGGAGCAGGCTCCATCCTTCCAGAATACCCCAGTTCAGCCTTCTGGAAAACTAATCTGACCGACCAACCCCCAAAGACCAGAGAAGGCCATAGTGTGTGTGTGTGTGTGTGTGTGTGTGTGTGTGTGTGTACAAGGAATTCCTATTCATTAAGTGAAGAAATCGGATTGGGGACCCCCTGAGGAAAAAGGAAGGGAAACAGCAGGACATCTCAAAGAATGGAAAATCTAATTAGACACATGGCTCCCTGGGCCAACTACCTGATTTCCTCCTAGCCAATAGATGAGGGTCTGTCTAGCTGTCCCCTAGTCAGGCAGGCAGCCATCCTCTCCATCAGAGCCTTTATCTCCTTGGAAGCTGCAGGGGCAGACAGATCCAAAAGCACCTAAAAGGTAAGGTCCAGGGTTGGAGGCCTCACACATATTGGCATGCCAACAAAGGGACAGAGTCTGGGCTGGGGCAGTGACTAGGCAGAAAGAACGGGGAGTCCAAGACACTAATCAGAGAAGCTGGAAGAGGCTTCTGAGTGGTCAGTAAACTTGGAAATTGTTTTAAAGAGAAGACATTTTGGTTTGGAGTGGGGGCAGGGAAGAAAGAGATACCATTTTTTACTACTACCGGGAACTTACCCCTCAGTCCAGCTGAACTTAAGAAGAAACCTGAGCGGCTGGCTTTAGAACTGTGTGGTCAGGCACATACTGTCTACAAAGGTACAAGCGCTTCAGCGCTCATAGCACACACAGCCCTCCACCCGTGTGCACAGATGTCTGTGCTCATATGCACATCATGTAGACGAAGTTATCCATGTGCACACACATATGTACATAGATATGCACATGGATAGCTCCCGAGCTTTCCTGATGGGAAAACACTCCCACAAGCACACACAGGCTCTCTGGTTTCTACAATGTTTCTAAAATGTTCCATTGTCTAAGTCTATTTTATGAGCCAACATCCTTCTTTTATACTGTATGTCAAGTTATAAGGCTTGCCTCCAAGTTAACTGGTTGCTCCTAAAATGGGCTGGGCCTTATTCATTTCTGCACTTCCAGAGGCAAGTCCAGAGACTACAACTCAGTAGACACCCTGTGAATGTTAAAGCGACTGTCTGAATGAGTGATTTTAGACTAATCACAAATAGGGTTAGGGAGAGGGCTCACTTGGTATCGAGCTTGCCTAACATGCCCGAAGCTCTGAACTTGGTACCCAGCATCTCATACACCAGTCATGATGGTGCACACCTGTAATCCCAGCACTTGGAACAGGAGGATCAGAAGTTTAAGGAAATTTGAGGCCAATTTAGGGTACATCAGGCCCTATCATGTACCAAGCCAAAGAAAACAAAAGACTCTCTAGTGCAGTTTCTCTGAAGCTAGTTTTTTTTTTCAGGAAGACTTGTTCTGGATATGTGGTCATTAGCTAGAGAATATTTGTACAAATGCATGAGTGTGTCCAGTGCACAGGGGAGTGGACAGGGGACTTTTGTAAGCACGTCTGTGGTGAGATGAGTAAGCCGGCCTGTGGAAGCTGTCATGGGAGCCTGAGTGACTGATGACCACATTGTGAGCTGCAGTGAGTGATAGCTCAGGATGCCTCCAGACACAGCCCGGCCTTTAAGGGGCTGTAGTGTAAGATAAGATGCTGAGTGAGCAAGTGTGGAGAGGTCAGAGGTTGGGTGCCTTTGTGGGCCATTCCTGCAAAACACTAGAGAGCTCAGATACCGGCCCTTTCTACCACCTGCGCCCAGGATGGACATTAGTGGGATTCGGTCATTTCCACTCCTATTCCTCCACCAGAACCCCATGAGGCTCCTGGCTTTCCTGAGTCTGCTGGCCCTAGTGCTGCATGAGGCAGGGACAGCTTCACTCCCAGAGGAGAGGAAAAGAGAAGAGCAGAGCCCCGAGGAGGGAGACACTTACGCATTTCTACATATGGGAGACTATGCCTTGAACCTAGAGGACTACAGCGAAGTCATTGACCTGAGCAGCTATGAGGAACCTGCCGACAATGGGGACCAGATCTCTGAGGTGAAAGGACACAGTTGACTTGGAGTCCTTGATTAAAGCCAACTCCCTTTCCACCTGCCCTGTAATACAAGTCTCTCAAGCCCTCAACTCTTTCTCTGTATGATGCAACTCGTGTGTGTGTGTGTGTGTGTGTGTGTGTGTGTGTGTGTGTTCATTAATACGTATGCAGGTATACATGCATGTGTGCATGTGTGCACATGTGTGGGGAACCCAAAGGACAGACTTAGATGTTGTTCCTCTGGAGCTGCCCATCTTGTTTTGTATAAGACAGGATATCTCACTGGCCCAGAGCTTGTCAAGTAAGCTAGGCTGACTGGCCAGCAAGCCTCCCCAGCATTGAGATTTTGAGCATTAATTGCTGATCCTGGCAAAACAAACAAACAACAAACAAACAAACCACGGTTCAGGGCATCAAGCTCATGCCCTCATCTTGCAAGGGAAACTCTATCCAACAGTGCTATCTTCCAATGCATGAGGTACAAATTCTAATCCCTCCTTAGGAACTTGTCACTTACTACAGAAGAGGACACTAACCTCCGTTGTCTTAGTCCATGTGCCACACATGGTAGGACCCCTCACAGAAGGGGACCTCATACATACCTCCCCATGTGGTCAAATACAATGAGCCATGTCATGGGGTGAGAGTTAGCTGTGTCTTCATGATCTCCCTAAAAAGTGGGGGGGATGCTAACTTGTTAATTCCAGTCTGAAGTTCTTCCCTGTCCTCTGCAAGGATTGGCCTGTACAGTGTGGCACATGAGCCCGGAAGCCTCTGCCCATTGTGATGTGACCAGGGTTGGGGTAGAGAAAGGGTTAGTGCTGGTTTGAACAATGCAGAGAAGAAGGGAGTGAGTACCAGCCTGGATGACCCAGAGATTGACTTCAGCTCTGTGCTGGGACCTTCTGGGTACCTGACCCTCACCCTCTCCTCCTCTGAACTCAGTTTCCTCATTTGCGTGTGGAAGACGCTGGATGCCACGTTCTCCAAAGTCCCTTTCTTGCCCTCTCTTTCTGCTCTCTCGCCCTCCTCTTATTCCATGTTTGAACTTGGTCACTGCGGTTTCCAGAGGCCACAGTTAAGTCCTTCTCAGGCATATACCGACCTATGGTATGCTGTATGCTGTGTCTCCAGGCTAAAGTGGACAGCCTGACTCTCCCAACAAGAACTAGCCCCTCCCAGAGCACCGTGGTTCCAAAGACATCATCATCAAACCTCACAGTGACAGGGCCTACCAGCAGTGACCTACTGACCTCCCAGAGCAGTCGCGGTAAGTGAATGCAATCAGGTCACGGTATACATAAACCACAGACCAAGCAACCTCAAGCTAGCACCAGGCAGTTCTAAAGTGGGGTGTGGTGAGGGCTAAGGCCAGAGAGTCCTGGGTCTGGGTTAGCTTCTGCCAGAAGAAAAGGAAGGGCAGGTTGCCATGGGGGTGGGGGAACCAAGCACCGCCACCATCAAGGGGAGTGGCTGGCTGCCTCTGATACCTTTGCATGAATATTATGCACACATTGAGTGGGAGGCAAGGCGAGCAAGAACTCCTACACCCTATCAAGGCCACCCTACCTTAATTAGCAGCATCACTTGGGGAGCAGTTTGAGTGGTAATTAGATTAGAGATGATTAAGAGCCTGGGAAGCTGAATAAGTAAGTGTGGCTGTCACTTGGCATGGCAGTAAATGAAGCAGTGACACTGACTTCAGTTTCACATTCACCTTTGTTAGCAGCCCTCCCCCAGGGCCTTCCTGTGGGGGGCACAGCATCAGTAACTCTGACGGGATCAGAGACTGAAACACAGGAGGAACGCAGCTTACTCTGGACTCGCTGGCACTTGGTATCCTGTTTTCTCAGATGTTTGCCAGCGGGGACCTGGGGTACTGAGATCAGCTGAGATGTCCCATGGGGAGTTCATGAACTCTCACAGCTGCAATCTTGACTTGAAAAGGCCATGAAGGGTCTCAGCTGCCCCTGCCTTTCTCAGCCTTGGGAAAAGGGCATAGGGTCTCTGCCCCCTGACCCTGCTGTCGATTCTGCTGCTTCATCTCCGGGCTGTGAACTTTCTTCCAGTGCCTTTTGGATACGAGCCTCCCTCTCACTAATCTCTGTGACTTGTGATAGCAAGTGGCATGAACATTGCTCAGCTGTCTGAATTTCTTGACCACTCTGTGCAGAGAGAGCAATGGGCAGAGAATGGAGGAGGGATGTTTCCCGCTGCAAAATCAGGGTGCTGACAACCTCCCAAGAGGACATGGATGTGGGCAGGCCCTGTCCTTTCCACCCTGACTCTTCTGTGCTTCCTGGGGCCAATTCCTCCTCCTAAGACAGAAGCAGCAACCGTTGGCTATTTCATATAATCCCGGCTCCCTGCCCCCATCCACACTGTACCTTTTGGCACTAAGGAAGGATCCTCTGGGAAAGAGACAGACAGGGTTCCTAGAAGCAGCCACAATAACTCAGGAGAGCCTACAAAGCATCAGTGGGACTTGCACTGAGTGGTAGTGAGGTGAGTCCTCTTTTAGGCCAGGGCTGAGTGACAGGCTGAGAGCAACTATGAGTATGGTCTGGGTGCATTGTGCTGGGTGGTTCTGGGCAAAAAACCCACTGGCAGTGTAAAAGCCACCGATGCCCAGGCTTAGGCATCCACTGAAGAGAAGACCACTGGCCACAGAGGCTGGAGGGAGGCTGACAGAGGTGTCCCCCTGTTCTGTCTTCTACCTGGCCAGGCCTGCCTACCTGCCTGGCGTGTGTGTGCCTTGGCTCTTCCGTGTACTGTGATGATGCAGACCTGGAGCATCCCTCCCCTTCCCCAGATGACCACCTACCTGTATGCTCGCTTCAAACACGTCAGCCACATCCAGGCCGGAGACTTCAAAGGGCTGAGTGAGTTATGCTTTGAGGAAAGGTCGTGGCAAGGCAGAAAGGACTGCCACACACAGCCATGAGCTCACAGGCTGTCAAAGGGACAGACGCCCCAGTCCTTCTATATCCTTACGAGTGTAAAGGAGTGGACGCAGCCAGTTCTTCTCATGAAGGGTCTGGGGTATGGGAAAGGAAGGTATGATCAAGGCAACATTCCCAGGGTGTTCCAGAAGCTGCACCTGTTAGGCTGTGGGCTAGACCCCCCTAAGCCTCCTCTCTGTGGCCCTGATCTACTCAAAGAGCTGCTTGCTGTTTCTTTGTTTTGCTACTTCATGCCGTATTCCCTGCTTGAGGCAGGATGGCTAGGCATGCCTCCAGCTTGTGTTGCTGGTGACCTTTCCCGTCCTTGCTGTCTGCCATGTAAAGTTAAGTTGTGCAGAGGGTGGGGGGAGGTGAATTCAGCCATTCTGGAACATTGTTAGTTCTTGTTCTGAGCTCTTCTAAGGTGGGTAACATAACCAAGGCTCTGGAGGAAGCTGTTGAGGAATGCCAGTTTTTGAAGGAGAGCTGGTTTAGCCTCGTTTCTGTGCTTTGGACCTGGTGCAGGTAGTGAGCTAGTTAGAGCCCCTGGAGAAGGGCGGACAAGGCATGGAGGCAAGCATGTGCCACACAGGGCCAGCAGATGCATGGTCCAGTTTCACCCTTTGCTCTCTCCCAACACCCTTCAGCAAACCTGAAGAGGATTGACCTCTCCAGCAACTCCATCTCCTCCATCCACAACGATGCCTTCCGCCTGCTGCCTGCGCTGCAGGATCTGATCCTCCCAGAGAACCAGCTGGCAGCTCTGCCTGTGCTGCCCAGTGGCATTGAGTTCCTGGACATCCGCCTGAATCGGCTGCAGAGCTCGGGGATACCGCCTGAGGCCTTTGTGGTGAGTCAGGATCTCGGCCCACCACACAATACCCACCCTACCTATATACCACACAACCCAACACCCACCCACCACACAACACCCACCTACCCACGTGCCACACAACACAACACTCATTACACAATCCCTACCCTACCCATTTACCCTAACCTCACAGCATTTCGTGCTCAGTCCTGGTCTGGAGCCTAAAAACCAATTCCCATTTTCTCTTCTTTTCCTATTTATGACTTGTTAAACATTCTTCTTGAGAAAATGGTATTTTTACATCATACTATCATGGTAGCCTCTATAGTCTGTGGGAATAGAAAACACGCAGCTATCGGGCCTCAGGATCCTGTTAGTCAGGACAGAACACAGGAAACCAATACTGGCAACTCTCCCATGCCTCTGGGAGGACACCACTGTAGTACTGGCCTTTTTCTACGTATCTGCTCCACTCACTCTCTTTGTTCCAGACCTGCTCACCCCAGCCCTGCTCACCCCAGCCCTGCTCACCCCAGCCCTGCTCACCCCAGACCTGACCACCCCAGACCTGCTCACCTCAGACCTGACCACACCAGACCTGCTCACCCCAGACCTGCTCACCCCAGACCTGACCACCCCACACCTGCTCACCCCAGACCTGCTCACCCCAGACCTGCTCACCACAGACCTGCTCACCCCAGACCTGCTCACCCCAGACCTGCTCACCACAGACCTGACCACCCCAGACCTGCTCACCCCAGACCTGCTCACCACAGCCCTGACCACCCCAGACCTGCTCACCCCAGACCTGACCACCCCAGACCTGCTCACCACAGACCTGACCACCACCAGACCTGCTCACCCCAGACCTGACCACCCCAGACCTGCTCACACCAGACCTGACCACACCAGACCTGCTTACCCCAGACCTGACCACCCCACACCTGCTCACACCAGACCTGCTCACCCCAGACCTGCTCACCCCACCCCAGACCTGCTCACCCCAGACCTGCTCACCCCAGACCTGACCACCCCAGACCTGCTCACCCCAGACCTGTTCACACCAGACCTGCTCACCCCAGACCTGACCACCCCAGACCTGCTCACCCCAGACCTGACCACCCAGACCTGCTCACCACAGACCTGCTCACACCAGACCTGACCACTCCAGACCTGCTCACACCAGACCTGCTCACCCCAGACCTGACCACCCAGACCTGCTCATCCCAGACCTGACCACCCCAGACCTACTCACCACAGACCTGCTCACACCAGACCTGCTCACACCAGACCTGCTCACACCAGACCTGACCACCCAGACCTGCTCACCCCAGACCTGACCACCCCAGACCTGCTCACCCCAGACCTGCTCACCCCAGACCTGTTCACACCAGACCTGCTCACCACAGACCTGCTCACCCCAGACCTGCTCACCCCAGACCTGCTCACCACAGACCTGCTCACCACAGACCTGCTCACCACAGACCTGACCACCCCAGACCTGCTCACCCCAGACCTGCTCACCACAGCCCTGCTCACCACAGACCTGCTCACCACAGACCTGACCACCCCAGACCTGCTCACCACAGACCTGCTCACACCAGACCTGACCACCCCAGACCTGCTCACACCAGACCTGACCACCCACACCTGCTCACCCCAGACCTGCTCACACCAGACCTGACCACCCCAGACCTGCTCACACCAGACCTGACCACCCACACCTGCTCACCCCAGACCTGCTCACACCAGACCTGACCACCCCAGACCTGCTCACCACAGATCTGCTCACCACAGACCTGCTCACCCCAGACTTGCTCACCCAGACCTGACCACCCAGACCTGCTCACCACAGACCTGCTCACACCAGGTCTGCTCACCCCAGACCTGCTCACTCCAGACCTGCTCATCCCAGACCTGCTCACCCCAGACCTGCTCACACCAGGTCTGCTCACCCCAGACCTGACCACCCAGACCTGCTCACCCCAGACCTGACCACCCAGACCTGCTCACCCCAGACCTGCTCACTCCAGACCTGCTCATCCCAGACCTGCTCACCCCAGACCTGCTCACCACAGACCTGCTCATCCCAGACCTGCTCACCACAGACCTGCTCAACTGTTCTGCCCTTGAGAACTCCAATTTGTCTATGGTGCTAACCCTGACTCCAACTCCTACAAATTATCATAATGGTTTAATGGTTTTGAAATCTACCACCAAGTAACTGGTTGCTGTCTCTCTATTGTCTGATTCTCAAGACACAATTTGATGGGTTACTGGCCAGATTCGATAGAAAGAGTTAAATCATTTGATACAAATATGATCCTGTGGGGCTGCCCAAGGAGCAGACTGGCAAGAGCCCAGGATACATTCCATTGAAGACAAGGAGAGAGTGACAAGGCTGACACCTCCCAGCATGCTGGCCGCCATACTAGAAAGGGCCTTCAAGGCTGGTGGCTCTTGTGCAGTCTCTGTCTCTCTCAAATACAGTTCAAACCATATGGCAACATTTCTATCAGTACTGAACTATAGGCTTGGTGCTGGCCCCCTAAGATTGAGTCACCTAGTAACTTCATAGCCCTCTTGGTTTGTGTAAGCAATTTCACAATGACACATTTCTCAGAATGCATCCCTGTCCTTAAGCAATGCTCAATTGTAGCAGACTCCTTTTTGCAAAGTCATATGTAGAAGCATCAAATAAAGTAAAAATGGCAATATATATAGCCACATACATATATCTTATTGTATATTATTGTAGATGGAGTTTTTCATTGGGACTGCCATTCATCTCCCAAATAACTACACAGAGACTATCATTAATTATAAATGCTTGACCAATAGCTTAGGCTAATTATTTACTAACTAGCTCTTACAACTTAAATTAATCCGTATTCGTTATCTAAGTTCTACCACGTGCCTCATAGATTGTTACCTCATTGTGTACACATCCTGCTTCCTCTTTGTCTGGCTGGAGATTTCTTAGACCCCACCCTTCTTCTTCCCAGCATCCTCCCAGTTTGGCCTTCCCACCTAACCTCTTTTTGCCTAGCTGCTGGCCAGTCAGCACTCTATTAATCCCATCAGAAGGCACCTTGGCAAGACACATCTTTACAGTGTACAAAAAGATTATTCCATAGCATTATGCTATATATAAACATATAATCATAGACAACGGTCTTGTTATGTAGTCCAGGATGCCCTCAAACTCATCCTCCTCCCTCGGCTTCCTGAGTCTTGAGATAACAACGGTGCATCACCGTGGTCACCAAGAGCTGGGTGTTTGCACTGTTGCTACTCTTCTTCACAAACATCTCCCACCCTCCCAGTCTGCTGTTTGCTGTGGGTCTACAGAGGGTACAGAGGACAGTATCCACGCCGCTGGTTGATGGAATGCAAACCCTGCGCATGCTGGTTTTCTCAGCTGTGCAGGAAGCACTGGGATTGTCTACACCAGGAGGTCCCTGGCTGTTCCAGCCCTCAGCAACATCCTGACTGTTTCCATATTAGGAGGTGCTTCTCTGCCTTCACAGGGCTGTTTGCTTGGTCCAGAAAAGGCAGGGGCCTTGGAGCCAAAGGACCTGAGCTCATTGAATGAGTCACCTCTGCTCTTGTTTCCTCGTTTAGAGAACAAGGGTGACAATGCTCCCTTGACACAGCTGCTGCAGGATTGAACACAAGGTTTGCCCGGATCACGGGCTGACCAAATGTAGGTAGTGGACGCTCCATTAAGTGGGAGCTTACTCCTCACTGTTCTCTGGGCAGCCTGCAGGCTGGTTCCTAGCCCATAGCCCTCCCTGGTTCTGATGGTGCTGTTACACTCACATGCTCCGTGCGCCTGCGTGCCTTGGGTTCTGTTCTGCCACTCCGGCATCCTTGAGCATGCTCTCCATAGCCCCACTGAGTGGAGCGTTTGGGAGACTTCACTGGTGGCAGGGCAGTTGAGACTGAGCTGAAATGCCCCCTGGTACTTCCGTCTACCTGTTCCTGCCTTCGTCTGCTCCTCCCAGCCAGTACCAACAGCTCCTTTGTGCCCCCCAGCTGCTAGCACACAATGCAGCAGCTTTCTTCGGGCATCAAATGGAGTTAGTATCTGCAAGCTCCTTAAAGAACTGGCATCCTTACCTGAGCTTGTTAGTGCATGTAGGACTCAGAAGGATGAAGTAGGACTAAAGATTGAGGCCAACCTAGGCCATATAGAGAATTCTAGGTAGAGGGTAAGATTCTGGAGAGGGAGGGAAGATAGATAGACACAGAGAGACAGAGAGACAGACAGACAGACAGACAGACAGACAGACAGACAGAGACAGGCCCACCCCATGAGTGGGACCAACCTGACACTGTCCTCCTGGGACCCGAGCCTGACAGGACCCCCCCAGTCTCCCTCGCTTGTGTCCCCACAGGCGCTGGAGAAGCTTCAGTTTCTCTACCTGGCAGACAACCTGCTGGACTCGATCCCTGGGCCTCTGCCCCTGAGCCTGCGTTCCCTGCACCTGCAGGTGAGGAGCCTTGATCAGACCAAGGGCAAAAGATAGTGAGTGGGGTAGAAGGCAGATGACGGGGAACTCCGGGCAGTGAGGACCAGCGTGGTCTGTATAAACGATGTTCTCCACTCCTCTTTAAAGCATTTCCTTCCCTTGCGCGTCAATATTTCACCTGCTTTTGTGTCCTCACTTTACCTGCCTCCTGCCTCCTCTCATCCCCTCAGGGTCTCCCCGCTTCTCCTCCCAGCTTTTCTAATTTCTTCTCCCCTCTCTTCATTCTCCACAAGTGTCCTCTTCTTATCCCCCGAGTGGCCTCGGCTCTCCCTGCTTCCATTTCTCCAGCCATGCAGGAGGCTGTGAGCCTTCAGTGTATGCTGTTCCTTCATGATCCACACCATGGAAAGAGACACTTTCTGTGACACCAGGGAACACAGACACGAGCACCGGCGGCAGCTCGAAGACATCCGCCTGGATGGGAACCCCATCGACCTGAGCCTTTTCCCAGAGGCCTATTTCTGCCTGCCGAGGCTTCCTGTGGGCCGCTTCACCTAGATGCCCACAGCCCTCTCTTCCCAGGTACCATGCTCAGAGGTTCACTGAGCTAGTGCTCCCTCATGTAATAGTGGTCTGTAGTCTGAGTGCCAGGCAGCTGAGAGCCACAGCTGCAAAAATTTCACACCAGACACACATATGGGGTGGAGGGGGAGACAGAGAGGGAGGGAGGGAAGGAGGGAGGGAGAGAGAGGGAGGGAGGGGAGGGAGGGAGGGAGGGAGAGAGAGGGAGGGAGGGAGGGAGGGAGGGAGACAGGGAGGGAGGGAGGGAGGGAGGGAGGAGAGGCAGAGAGAGAGAGGGGGGGAGGGAGGGAGGGAGAGAGAGAGCTCCTTCAGCCACCAAATTTGCATTTCCCTCTCCTCTCCTCATACCTTATGGCTCCTGACTCAGAGAACAGCCACAGCAGAGATCTTTTCCACACTCTCCATCCCTGTCTTCCCACACAGAATTCCAGGAGAACCATGGAAGAAAGAGGGGGCAGAGGAGGCAGAGGAGGGACAGAAGCAGGGCTGGAAGGAGGGCGGGAGACGAGAGTCTTTGGTGTGCTGGAGCCTCTTCTTCACTGATTGATTGGCTGGCGAGGTTGATAATTGCGTTTTCCAGAATTTCGCCGTTCAGTTGTTAAACACAGCCATTATGAAAAATTAAATTATATAACCTCACGGTTAAAATATATTCTACTGGAAACAACTGGAATGAACACTCAAAATTCATCACTTCCCCATGATTCTACCCTGTCTTGAAGTTGTTTGTGTCCATGGTAGCTTCGTGGTATATATTCTGGATAATGGAGAACCACAGGACGATCCTCCCAACTCATTTGGTGACATTGTGTTGGTAGTTTGAAATGGGCCATAGTGGGAGATTTACAATCTATGGATGTTGCAAATGGTGTGTGTGTGTGTGTGTGTGTGTGTGTGTGTGAGAGAGAGAGAGAGAGAGAGAGAGAGAGAGAATGTATCTCTGCATGAGTGTGTCTGTGTATTTCTGTGTGTCTAAATTTGTCTGTCTGTGTGTGTTGAGATCTAGCTGTTAAAGACCTACCAGCACATCACTGAGGACATCGAGCTATATTTAAAACTACCCCCCCACTACCCAATGAGTGGTGAGTACAGTCCCTATGGTACATCCCTTCCTTTCTTGCTTCTCCTAGGTTCTCCTGTTCCATTTGGAGAGGATCATCCCCGAGGAGGGAAACCTGGCCTGGCTTCTCACCTGCAAGCCCTCTGGCTGGGGCTCACCTCTTCCCTGGCTCTGCGTCAGCCTCCTGGTTTCTGACCACCGATTTCCATCCTTTCTAGTCGCTCCTGCATGTGCAGCCAGCAGAGGGCAGCCTTGTGCAAAGATAAATAAATAAATAGAGCAATTACCTACAGGCTTTATTTAGATCATGGTCAGGGCCTGGAGTTTGGAGAGAAGGGAAAGAGCTGCTGTCACTGGGTTAACTTCTTTGTTGACTACAGAGGGGAGAAAGAACCAAGCTTCCCCTGTTGCCATTTTTTGTTTTTGTTTTTGTTTTTTATGTTTTTTGTTTTTTGTTACCCTCCTTAATCAGCCTCCTCACTGCTGGGATAACAAGCATATATCACCATGCCCTGCTACCATGGTTTTTATAAGGGGGGTGGTAATGGATGGCCCTGGGCATTGCCTCTCCCAGGCGTTGCCTGAGACATGGAAAGGGCCTGAGACAGACAAGGCCTTGGCTTGCTTGGTAGGATTTTCATGACAATCCTGTCTGCCACGTGCCTGAGACACTGTTCCTGGTGATAAGACGGGTCGGTGTGCAACAGAAACGTCTCTTTCCTGGTGGAACTTAAGATCTAGTACAGAAAGTAAATCATCACTCAGTCAACTGTGCTGTTCAGCTCAGACATGCTGCAAAGGGAATTACAGGATGTGACAGGAGCTGGTAAGAAGGGATGCGTCTCAGAGTCTGGGAGACCTCTTTGCAGGACTAGCATTTAAGCTGACACTGATGATGGAGTGGGGGGGGGTCAACCAAGCTGTGTATTGTTAAGGTAACCACTCAAGGTCCCAGGTGGTCTCTGACCCCAAGGGATAGCTGCTTATAGGGGCCCATGGGGATGGGGAACCATTTATCTGCCTTCCTCCACCCCTGGGTAGCACCTCATCAAGCGCTTGGGATGCTCAGCACGGTCCTAGGAGCAGACATTCCCATTCTTCGGATGAAGAAACTGAGTCTTGAAGAAGATAAATCAATTGCCCATCTCTTATGTTTACTGAAATTTGGACCAAGACTTTTCCTACTGACTCTAGGATGGCAAGGAGGAGTCTTAGAGATGTTGGGAGGCACCCTCATAGCCTGGCTAAGGCTTCTGTCTTCTCTTTCAGAGACTTAGGTCCTAGCACACCTCATCCCAGGGAAGGTCTGGAGGGCAGAAGTCTAAGAGCTCCTAGAGATGCTAAAGCCGCCTCTGTGTGTGTGTGTGTGTGTGTGTGTGTGTGTGTGTGCGCACACATGTGTGTTTCTGTCTCTTGCCTGTGTTCATGTTTGTGCACATGTGTGGATGGGTATGTATATACACATGTATTGATGGTACTCATGAAGTCTAGAAAATGATGTCTAATAGCTTCCTTAGTTGTTCTCCACCTTATGTTTTGAGGCAGTGTCTCTCACTGAACTTGGAACTCGCCAGTTCAATTAGACTGGCTGGCCAGCAAGTCCCAGGGATGCTTCACACACACACACACACACACACACACACACACACACACACACACACACACGTCTCCAGCACTAGGAATACAGGTACATGTCCCCCTGCTATACCCAGTTTTTAAAAACTGATTTATGTATATGGGTGTTTTGTCTGCATATATGTCTGTGCACTATGTGTGAGTTTGGTGCCCATGGAGGCTAGAAAAGGTTGTTGGAATCCCTAAGACTGGAGTTATAGACAGTTATGAGTTGCCATGTGGGTTCTGGAAATTAAACCCAAGTCCTCTTGAAGAACACCCAGTACTCTTAACCACTGAGCCATCTCTTCAGCCTGGGCTGCGTCCACACTGCTCATGAGTGTTGTAGATACGAACTCAGGTCTTCAGGCTTGTACATCAAGCGTTTTCCTGACTGATCCCTCTTCCCAGCCTCTGACCCCTGAGCTTCCTTTGTGTGCCCCCAACCTCCCTGTCTTTGCCACTCCGACACCAATTCACATGCCGTATCCACCTCCCTTTACTGGATTTTGAAAAGGCTTAGGTGTCCAAGCTGAAGTTTCAAAATTGTAAGAAACACTGTATTGAAGGAACCCACTGATAATTAATATTTATATGTATAATAGAGCATATATATATATACATATACAGAGAGAGAGAGCATATATATAGTTTCCCAGAACTAGGGCTCCCATGTGCTGAAGCCAGGTCACACCTAGATGCTTACACACCTGTGATGAGTTTGTACTGCCAGAAAATCCTCTAACCACCGTTTTTCTATAAGAGGAGGGGGCTGGCAATTACTGGGCTCTGGAGTTCGCTCTTGGCACCATAGGCGCTTCAAATAAGCACCTCACTTAATTAATCCCAAAGGCAGTGCTAGGTAAGAGGGAAGTGCATCCCCTCTTGGCCGCAGATGTGGAAACCAGCCTCTAAAAGGAAGTAGCCACACCCACACTGCAAAGAAGTAGTTCAATCGAATCTCAACCCAGGTCCATCCACTCAGGGTCCCAAGCCCAGCTCTTAGGTCACACTGTCACACTCTTGAGCAGACAGTGTGGTCTGCAAACTGTTTTCCCTGAGGCCATCCTGTGCACTGGATAGGATTTCCCCAAGGCCACACCTCTGCAGCTGTCTCCTAACTAATCCCTCATTTTGGCTAGGCAAGCTCAGAAAACAAAAAGAATGCCTTTATTGACTCACTGAGGCATTTTAAACAGAGCATCTGTCCCTCCCTCTGTAGCAGAGAAGGTTACAGGGATCAACTTGCTCCCAGCAGCTGTGCATGTCTTACGTGAAATAGCCAGGCTGGCATTTCTCAGGACCAAAAGGAGTTGGGTTGGACCATGGCAGGGCAAACAGAGCATCCCACCCCTCCTGTCAAACAGACGATCAGTGCCAGCCAGCCATGAGGGAACAAAGGAAGGGTCCTTAATGTCCCCACAGGCATGGCAAACAGCCTGCATGCCTAGTAGACTACACCAGAGTGATCTAGCTGTCTCTTTCAGGAGGCGCGGTGCCTACCTGACTCCCTGGGTAAACTGAACTCCAGGCTGCCCTGGGCAAAGGCATTCAGTGAAGCACCTCCCTCCTTTGCCCACAGCCTTCAGGAGGGTCTAACTTCAGGAAATCCACCTCTGTCAGCTCTTCCAATACGGAGGAAAGAGGCAGAGGGAAAGGGGCAGCGCCTCTCCTTCCTCAGTGAGGGTGAAGCTTGTGGTACCCTCCTCTTCCTCCTGAACCACCCTGTCCTCAACTCCACAGTCCTGTTTTTTCCCCCAAATCTCACCCAGCAGGACCCAGGGGCAGAGGAGGAAGGGAGGAGGACAGAGACTGCAAGGGGCTGGGGCCAACTTGAGCTGAGGAGGCTGGGAGGGTTCAGCCCTGACCCCGCCTGTGTTTCCTTCCTGTTTCCCTTTCCTTTAGCCTTCTCCCTTGTGAGTCATTCATGCTGCAAATGTCAACTTTGCAAAGTTCTTTTACATATGGGCTCTAACGCCATAGTCTGGCTCTGTGAGGGACAGATTGCTGTTCCTACTCTTCGAGGCCATGTGCTGTACTGACAAAAACATGACAAACAACGCTGGGTTTATGAAAACAAGATAGGAAGTCAGGCTTAATGGTCCATGCCTGTCATCCTAGGACTCAGGAGGGAGATTAAGAGTTCATGCCTTTTAATGACAGCTCTGTGTGGGGTTCGGGGAGGAGGCAGGTAGGTCTCTGTGAGTGCAAAGCCAGCCTGGTCTACTAGCAAGTTCCAGGCCAACCAAAGCTGTGTAGTGAGACCCAGCTACAGAGAGGGAGGGTCAAGACATGGAGACAGAGACAGAGAAAGAAGAGTTCAAGGTCACAGAGTGAGTTTGAGGCCAGCCTGGGCTGCATGAAACACTGTCCCAAAAAACAAACAACAAAAAGATAGGTGGGCTTCAGGGTAAACAATCACGTCTCGGAAGCTCCTCTACCCGAGCCTCGTGTGGTTCAAATCCACTCCCTGCCCCCATCTCACAAAGCCCTTTGCTGCTATTGGTGTTTACACACTGGGGATCAAATCCAGGACAAGCGTACTACCAAGTGAGCCATATCCCCAATGCCTTTAAAGAGCAAAGACTGAGGACTGCATCCCTCAGACTGGACAAGGGGTGCACAGTGAGGGGCTACATCCCCAGGGAGCACAATGAGGGATCTCACCTCAGGAGAACCCGGTGGCTCAAGGACACCCTGACCCAACCGCCCACTATCACATGCCTGTGTCTGTGTCAGTCTCTCTCTTGGCCAGGAGGAAGGCAGACAGATGCAAATGGCCTGGCTCTACCCTGCCCCCTCCCATCTGCATCCTCTCCGCTGCTCCTCCTTCCTGCCCCCTCCTCTCCAGCACACCGGCTCTCTCAAGGTCATCTCCAGCCTGGCCAGCAGCCTCCAAGTCTCCACCAGCTCCCAGGCCCACCTCGATGATGCAGCTTGAAGCATTTCCCTAGGGAGTGACGGTGCCTGTGTGTCCCCCACGTGTCCTTCTTTCCTCCATCAAAGCTGAGGGCTGCCTGGCTACCACAGCAATGCCCACACTTAGACCTCCTCTTCTGCCTTCATCCTTGTCCAGGGCCAGCCTTTCCAGCCTCCATCTGGCTTTACAGCAGACCTTATTACCCATCTCTAGCCTGTGCTGAAGAGGAAACAATCCAAACTCCACTGCTGTTCCTGACAACCCCGGAAACAGTGCCTGCACACCCCAGGGTTAAAACAGAGCCTGGGAAGAGGGACCCTACAGCCCAGCCCAGGCTCCCAAGCCCACGCACATACAGAAGCAGCTATGTCTCTCTGGAGAGCCAGAGAAATCCCTGGGGACTGGAAATGGGGAAAACGAGCACCTGGTTTTAGGAGAGTTCAGGATTGGAGGGGGCCACGGGAATTGGGTGGGTAGAGAAGAGAGGGCACCGGAGGTGAGAGGAGCCCTTGGCTATGGATAATCCTGAAAAAGACAAGCTGAGAATGTTCTGCAAAAATAGGAAAGTGTTACGTGGCTGTCCAGATGTTTCAAGCCAAAGCTCCCCAGAGAGGAAAATTCTGGACTACTTAAGTCTTCCGGATCAGCTCTGTACTTAGGATGAAATCACATTGCCAATTTCAATGCTAAGTGTTTGAAACAGTGAGTCTAAAAACAGGGTCCTTGTCATTGTCACCAGACCAGGACATCATCCTGCAGATTCAAGAAGAGAGAAAGAAGCAGAATTCAGTATTCCAAAGAACCCAACAGCTCGAGTCCTTTGTCCCATGTCCAGACCAGCCTTTACCTACTGCAGGGCGGGATCTCCACTTGGGTGTTAGGCAGGGCCACAGGGCCAGGCTGCAGAGAGGAACCTGTGCTTGTCCTTTGCATTTCTCCAGAGGAGTTCGGTGTGGTGGGCCTCACCTGCATTTTATAGAAAACTCCATTCCTCGCCCAAGGTCATAGAGCAAGTAAGAGTCAGAATGTCACCAAAGCCTTCTAGGCCTCCTGGATTGGAACTAGGTGTCTGGCACACATGCTGGACTGTGTCTCACCACCCTTCCCATAGGAACCTTGCTCCAGGCACATGTAATAAACACTGCCAGGCAGACTCCACAGCAGGCACAGAAGGACAGAGACACGTGACAAAAACCTGACTGTTATGACCTTTCCCTTCCCCCACCTTCCAGAGGTCTCCAACTGGGTTTCCCCTCTAAGCCTCTCTGGTCTCAATCATTCTCCCCCCACTCCCCTCCCCATCTGTTGTCCCTGGTCCCAGTGTCTGGGCTCCTCCTCACCCATTCACCAGTCCCTTTCCACTTCCCTGTCTACGACCGGCTCCTTCCTGGTAAACAGAACCGCAAGGCGGCCCAGTGGGGCTGTTCCAAGCCAGGCTTCATCTCCCTCTGGAGTCTTGCTCACTGCAGTCTCCAGTGGGGAGTAGCAGCCTGTCCCACTATGCCTCTCTGCTGCACTTCGGAAGGCAAGTGAGCACAGCTTCAGATGGCTGCCTCTTTCTTTTCTCTTGAGTCCAGGAAGAGCACATTCCTTCTGTCAAAAGAAATGTAAGAAAGGGAAAGATGATTTTTGCCACAACCAGGCATGTGCCCATCACCCTGAGGTCTGAAGCGCAGTCTCTAAGTGAAGCCCGTGGAGACACAATCCTGCCCTAGCTGAGACACCAATACCTGCCAATGTACCAAGCTTCAAGTGAGTGCACACGGCCCCGCCCCAAGCAGAGCAGCCACCCTGAGCTCCCTTGTCTCACACCAAAGGGAAGCTGCTCATTCTTGACCAAGAAGATGACTCACTTCACGAGGATCTTGAGTCTCTGTTTTCTGAGCTGCAGAGGAGCTGGAGTGTGCAAGAGCCCAGCCCAAGAGATTCCCGCAGATCCAGACCCTACCTCAGCCTCAAGTGTCTCTCCTTTCCTTCCTTGATTCTCTGAAGTGTTCTTCATTAAGTTCGCAGCACCAGGGACTTCATCATAACAAAGACAGGCAAGGCCTTATCACTGTGGGGGAGAAAATAAACACTAACAAAAGATAAAGCACATAGTTCACAAAGGGAATATTCCAGTTACAAGGGGACGAGGGGGACAGACAATCTGTGAGCCCACGGGTGTTTCTGTCTCTTACATATTAACGCCACAAGGGAATGTGGGCGAGAACAGAAGGTAGACACTAGTGCCATTAGATGAGAGAGTCTTCTCAGGTGGCGACGGTTGAGCAGAGACACCCCAAGAAGGCACAGTCTCAAGAGTGGGCAGGAACTACTCTCCAGCCAGAGGGATCGGTAGGGCCAAAGCCCTGAGCAGAAGAAAGCATGGCAAATTTCAGGAAGGGAGAGGTTATCTGTGTGGGTAGCCATAGCTGGCTGGAGGTAACAGGACCCTGAATGGGAAGAGCTCATAGAATGCTATGGTGTGTGAGATCCTTCTCTGAGAAACACAAATGCCCTCAACCCCTTCTATTCCCTCTAGCCACGCTAAAAACGTAAGGCAGGGGAGAAGGAGTGTTACTCACAAGCCAGAGGGTGACAGTCACCAGAGCTGTTATTCACAAACCAGAGGGTGACAGTGACCAGAGCAAACATGACCTTTTAAGAAAGGAAGAGTGTGCTGCTTGCCTACCAGGCCTGGGTATGCGAACTGGAAGAACTGACAAGGAGGAGAGGACCCCCCCCAGGCTGCTCTTTGAGGGTGGTAGCAGAAGAGGAGCAATGCCAGCAGCTTCCAAAGGGTGTAGGACCTTGAGAAGGGGTAGCAAGAATATTTTGAGGGTATTTTACAGGTTTAATACAGTATAACCTTCCCTAGGTCACTGTCCCAAGAAGACACTGTTTGGAAATAGGCATCAAGGAGGTTTGCCTCCCTGGGCCACAGCAGTAGGAGAGGCCCTGACACTGTCCCTGCTTCTCCTCACTGAACTGCTATGTGGCTTTACACGGGACTTTTGTCCTCTTTCCCTACTCCAACCAGGAGCACATTGGAGTCCATGAACAGAGGGACCAGACAGTCTGGGCCTCTGTGACCATGTAGATCTATGCTTTCTTTCTATGTTTAAAGATTTATTCATTCATTTTAATTGGTGTGTGTGTGTTGCACAATTTTATGTATATCACATGTATGCAGGTGCCTGCAGAAGCCAGAAGACATTGGAACCCCTGGAGGTGGAATTACAGGCACTGGTAAGCCACCTAATATGGGTTCTGGGAATCGAATTTGTATCTTATGAAAGATCAGCAAATGCTCTTAACCCCTGAGTCATCTCTCCAACCTGTTTCTGCTTTCTTAAGGAGGTGGAGGGGGCTCTGCGGGGACTCAAAGATAATGGGCCAAGAGACCAACTACTGATCCCCAGAGCAAGCTGCAGAAATTTCCCCAAAGACAAGTGTGTTGGGCTTGCCATCCTGGGACAAAATATTGGACCTGAACAACCTAAAGGAAGGAAGATTCATCAGAAGTTTTAATCAAAGGTCAGCTGTCCCCATCGCCTGAGGTGAGGCACAATGGCAGTGGCAATGCATGGAGGGAGCTGCCAGCAGAGAGAGAGAGAGAGAGAGAGAGAGAGAGAGAGAGAGAGAGAGAGAGAGAGAGAGAGAGAGAGAGAGAGGAACAGGAAAAGTCAGGGCGGAGACAAGCTCTTCAACAATGCATCTCCTGTGACACACTTCCTTCAGCCAGACCTCACCTTCACAGAGTCACCATCTCCTAACTGTCAACACTAAGGATGGTAATCTGATTAGAAGGTCAAACCAGGCAACACGTCAGAACCATCCTGGTCTAACTGTCTCTGGGAACACCCTCACAGACACACCCGAATCTTGCAATCCAGCAATCCAGTTAAGGTGCAAGCAAGAGTTCAGAGTAATCGTCCAACTCAGTGGTCAAGCATGAGCCCAGCGGGCAATGGCCCTGGGTTCTGTCTCCAGCACTGCAGGAAACAGGGTGAGATGAGAGATTAGCCTGACTTCCCAAGGGTGGAAGCTGCGTGACTCAGGTCCAGTTACCTCGAAGGCACATTCACTGGGGCTGGGGCCTCTCAGTTACCTCCGAAAGCTACTGTATGAGTGCCAGTAGAGGGCACAGGAAAGCAAACCAAAGGACAAGTGCCCACACAAAACCTCCCCAGGGGAAGCAGTCGTGGGCTCCATGGGTGCAATCACCTTGAAATACAGAAAAGCCCCCTTCCACCCCGGTGACTGTGGCGCCCGGGAGATCCAACAGTTCTAGTCCCTCTGACCCTTCCCACCCGGCAGCTGCAGAGCAGAGCAGTCCCCTGCCCTGTGGGGCCCCAGACTCCCTCTCCTCCCCTCCAGCTTAGCTGCAGACTGGAGGTAGCTTTTTAACAGGCAGCTTGCTTTCTCTTGCGCAATAAATGCCTCCCAGCAGAACCTGCTGTGCCGCCTTCCCACATCAGTAATCGGCGCACAGAACAAGCCGGCGATTTCTCTCGCGCTCCTCCCCCCACCCCACCCCTCCCCCGCCTCCTCTCTCTCTCTCTCTCTCTCTCTCTCTCTCTCTCTCTCTCTCTCTCTCTCTCTCTCTCTCTCTCTCTCTCTCTCTCTCTCTGTCTCTCTGTCTCTGTCTCTGTCTCTGTCTCTGTCTCTGTCTCTCTCTCTCTCTCTCTCTCTCTCTCTCTCTCTCTCTCCCTCTTCCCTTACTCTTCCCTCCTTCTCCCCTCCAATCAAAGTCACTATCACCTCTTGGGGAAGCTGGGATGGTTTATCAGCAGACCAAGGTTGTCATAAGGAAAACAGTTTTATATTCCTCACTTTGAGAAGGTGCTGTGGGGAGCAGCAAGGAGGGTGTTTATGCCTTGCCCCCTGTGGCTGAATCTGCCACTATCTGCTAGCTTATCTGCTCTGACTCACCTGCCTAGTCCTTATCTATGGATGTCGGTTCACTCAACCTGTCCACTCCAAGTCCTTCCTTCATTCTCGTTCAGTAATTTGGAGTCATTCTGTTTGTGTGCCAGGAATCCCAGGGGCTGGGGATATGAGACACATGGGGAGGGATGTGCCGCGGAGGCATGAATAAACCATTAAGACACAACGTGGTAACTGAGGCGACAGAGGTGCTCACACAGCCTCCTGGTGGCGGCACCCGGGGGAGCAGCCAGTCCTTGTGGGCGTAGCGATGATGGCGTGCTGGAGCACAGGACCCAGGGTGCAATGCTCTCAAACTCCTGACCCTGTGAAATCGTGGCATCAGCACCAAGGAGCACAGCAGCAGGGGCAGGGTACAGCCAGAGCCAGTCTGGGGGTGTGGGGATATTCCTAGGGGGAGGCAGAAGAAGGGACAGAGACTGGTGAGCTTCATGAGGTTGGCATTAGGTCCTGTGGGTATTTGGGGAAATTCTGGAGAAGTGGATTTAAGGAGAAGAGCTGTAGTAACTGGCTAGGAGGCACAGCCCTTGGGGAAGACCAAGGCAGCGACATTGGTTGCCACTGGCTGCACAAACGGTAGCAGCCACCCTTTGTAGTAGCACCCCAAGAACCTCTATGGTTTCACAGATGTGGGATTCTTCAGCAGCAGGGTCGGTTGACTTCAGGGAAGGATGAGGTCAGAGGCAGAAACACTCTGTGGGAGGAACACGTGGCCAGAGACAGGCCAGGGGATGCCACAGAGGTCTGTGAGCAGAAGAGAAACCATGGAGGCAAGAGCAGCTGGGAAAACCTAGCCACCAGCTAGGTAGGAAGAGGGCAGTGGCAGTGCTCTTGGAGCAGAGTTTTGCAGACTGCCACTTACTGTGGGCAGGCACTGCTCCTGGTGACAGTGTTGTGTGCACTCCGGGCTCACCGCTGCCTACCTATGTCGCCTCATTCACTCACGCACTGGGTCTTCCTAGGGATGAACCTGTCTTTGCTCTGTCACCCATCAGGGTCACGGTGTCTGCTCTACACTGAGGACCCACTGGATGTGGCTGACCATCAGCTCTCTCTGACTGGGCTCTAAATAATAGAAGGGACAGAACCTTCATGCTCGGGGAACTCCTAATTTGAGGCAAAGGGCTTCACAAAACCCTATCCACTAAAACATTAAAATTAAAATAATAATAAAAAAAGCATCCAGCAAGCAACATCAACACAGGAACGGGTCCCACGTAAAATGAATGCAGAAATGCATTCTAAAGGAACTGTAGAGAGGAGAGACGCCTGTGGATGGAGAGGCAGGGACATTCTCCATGGTTCCTGAACACTGAGACCAATTGGGACGTGACATCCATAATTCGTAGCCATCAATCCTAGAGGGCCTGGTGCTCTGACCCTTTTGGAAGGCAGTCTCCTCGCTGACAGCTGAGCCCTCCTCCTTGGAGGCCCAGAGCAGGAGGCTTTCTCTGTGAGATGGACTCCGGTGCCCCATGGCCAAATGATGGACGAGGAGGCGAGAGCAGCTGGGGTGGCACAGGCCAGCAGGGAGCATCAGGGGGAGAAATATGGTAGCAGAATAATCCAGACACAAGAGAGACTAGGGGGCTGGATGAGAGAGGGAAGGTGGGTTCTGCTCTCTGCCACCTTTATTGCCCTGCCCCGCCCTCATCTGGACCCTCTATTCTGCAACACAGAGAGGTGGGGGGATGGGTGGGAAAAAGGTGAAAAATCAAGGGTCTGAAGGACCAGCCCTCCTGTCTCTTTGGGGCCACGGATTTGGGAAGCCCTCAGGCTCTTCTGAGGAGTCATCACCCACAGGCAGCTCTGCTTCCTGTCTAGTGGCCCAGTGCCTCAGAAACAGTCCCAGCTCCCGGCTTTCCTGCGCAGATCCAGGCTTCCATCCAACCCAGCTTCTCTGGCAGCACGGGCAGACACTGGGCCAGCAGAGCAAAGGACTCTCTCTGCGATTCTGCCCATTCAGGACTCCATCCCAGGGCCAGTGTCTCAGAGTCAGAGCCTGCAATTCCAGCTCCCCGGCAGGGCCAGGAGTGTGTAGGTGTGATGGGCTCAGCCTACTCGTCCCAGCCCGCGAATTCCATTTGTCCATTATTTCCATGTGCACACAGGACATCAGGGAAACTGACAGGGTAGCATTGGCCTCCCACTCGCTCCTGTCAGCTGCTGGGAGCAGAGGAGGAGCAAAGGAGCACAAAGCCATAGGAGCCCCACTTCTTACAGTCAGCTAAGAGGATGGGAGGCTGGGTTTCTGGGGCCCTCTGGTAGTACTATTGATCTCTCCTTCCCAACAGACACGGGTGGGAGAAAGGGCAGTTTGGCTGGGTCATTGAGCAGTCTCTCTGAAAGTGAACACGGGGCGGTTAGGATTATAGACCATCTCAGACGTGGGCCTCAGCCCCTGTGGCTCCCGTAAGTGTAGGCATGGGGCTTATAGTAACGGATCAAACATGGACGCTGTCCTGGGAGCTTCGACTCTGGAGCAGCGGTGGCAGGCTGTAACACTAACAGTAGGATAGGCTGGAAGAGCAGGTGGAGAAGACAGCAAGCACACCAGCCAAATGAAGCAGGCAGGGCCTCCCTGTGCGGACGGCTGGTTAGCAAAAGGCTCTGCAGGGCAGGAAGGGGCCCTGCACAGCACAATATACAACTGTAGGAAGATAAGAGGCTGCCCACAGCGAATGTGTTTCCAAAGGTGAGAAGCAGGAAGGTGGCTTCCATGAGGGACTAGCCTTTTCTCTCTCTTCGTCCTTCACAGGCTGGGGCTTGCTTATCTAACACTTCTCCACCTTCAACTAGCTCCCCTGCAGTACTCCAGAGAGACTTCTGTTCAAGGCTGGGCAGTTCTCTGGACACCTCCATGCCTGAGCCCTGGTGATCACCGCGTGTGGTGCTGGGTCAGAGAAACTGAGGAACAGTTGTCTTCAGCTGGTAGGGATAACACCAGGCCCTTATCAGAGAGAGACCCAGCGTGACCTCACCCTCTTCTCAGGTCCCTGCAGAGGCAGCCTGCTCAGAGCCCACTCTGCTTGCCCCTCCAATTTCCCGTTTTCCCTGTTCCTCCCAGATCTGTGCCTTACCAGGCTGCCAAGGCCACCTATCTGGCAAGTGCCTCTGGGAAGTCAGGAAGGGAGACCTGACTGGAGGGCCCAAACCCTTCAGAAGCTTCTCTACTTCCCGCCAGGCCTGAGTCTGTGCTGTGGGGTGGTGCTTGTCCTTCAAGGCCAGAAACCCAGGGGTCCCGCAGGGCAGCCCCTGTACTGCCTGGGGTCTCTCCGGGTCTTAGAAACCAAAGCTTCTACTCCACTTTCTTCTCAGGGCCCCTCCTTTCCCTTAGCCCTACCCAGCCACGTTTCAACCCTGTCTTCTGCTAGACAGACACCGACTGTCTTAGTTAGGGTTTTCTTGTGAATAGATGGCATGGCCGCAACAATATCTTGCCTGGGATGTCACTTGTCCCAGCCCCTCTAGCATGAGCAAGCATGTGAGGACCCAGTTGGACCTCAAGTTCACCAGTGTCACCCACCAAGGTCTGTAGTCATTTTTAACTGGGAAAGCACAAGCTGCTTCGAGCTGGAAACATTCACATTATACATCCATTTGTTTGTGGCTGTATGCAATCCATTTTCATAATGTTTAATATTTTTGATTTATTGATTTCTCACTTGACTCTTTTATTGCCTGCTCATTCCTCTGCACTCGGTATAGGACTATATGTGACTATGACTTGCAGGAACACGGCTGGGGACGGGATGACATCCTAGGCAAGAAGAGGTGCCAGAACAGGATCCCAGGTCTGACAACACCTCTGGGGTATAATGGACAAGACTTTCAGCCCGCCAGCGTTGCTTTACCTCAGCACACAAATGGAAAGAGGACCCAGAGGGCACACAGGAGCCAGAGCTGAGGCACAAGACATTCCTAGGCAGGCGTCTACACCAGTGCACTGGCATACCTCTCTAGCCAGGTGTGGTAGTTTAATCCTTTAATCCCAGCACTTGGGAGGCAGAGAAAAGGCAGGAGGAACTCCCAGGCCAGCCTGGCCTATATAGTGAATTTCAGGACAGCCAGTACTACTTAAAAAGACCCTGTCTCAAAAGACAAAAACAAGCAAACAAACAAAAAGAGTCTAGACTGCATGTGGTGTAGGACTCATGACACAAAGATCTGGAAGATTCTTCACCATGTGTAAAATGGCCCTTTTATCTCCTACAGAAACATTAGACCCTAACTAAGTCCAACTCTGGCTCTGTGCAAACCTAGCTGAGTAAATTTGGGCAAGCCTCTTTGTGGGTCTCCATGTCTATAGGATATATTCAGTGATTTTGAAGAAAGACTGATGGGTCTGAGGACCAATGGGGATGCTAGGAGGAATTCAACAACAAGCCTGACATGTGATAAGGATTTGGCAGAAATAAATTCATTCTCACCCCTGCCTTAACCCTGGTCAGAATGTCATGGTTACATCCTAGCCAGGCTACAGTGTCACCCTGCAGTGATCCTTCTGATCTCCACAGACATATTCAGCTCACTCACTGTCCCAGCTGCCAGGAACATGTTGTAGGGAGGCCAGGTAACTGTGAAGGGGCAGAGACCCTTCCCAGGCTACAGGGAGGTTGGCAGTGTGCCAATAGCCAACTCCAGCTGGGAGCACAGCCAGTCCAGCCTAGGAGATGCCAGTGCCTCTTCTGCTGCCAGACAGAATCTAGATGTGTCTGAGTTGAGTGCCCTGTGTGACACCAGAAGCCTAGGGACCTTGCCTGCCTGGCTGAAAAGGTCCCTGTGTCCTGCTCTGCACCTGTCCTGGGGCCCTCAGAGGCTTGTGTTACCAACAATAGCTCCAGATTCCTATTAAAACGCCAGCAGGGAGAATCAATAGTCATTGGCAGCTGAACCTCTAATAAGTATAATAATCACCATTAGGGAAGAGTGGGGAGTGAGTGAGTGGGGCTGGTAATACAGTGATTATATTAATCTGCCTCTGTGGCACTCTGTATCCGCCTGCTCTTGGCATGCCTTTGCTTTTGACCCCACCAGGAGCACATAGGCTGCACACACACACACACACACACACACACACACA